GGCAAATTTGTATACATTTCTATTACGTGCGGAAATTGGTAACTAATTTAGTTAACAATTCACGCACGTAATACAAAAGTATACAAATTTGCCAACTTTGAAGGGCTATATTTTCCGTATTTTACAACATTTCGCAACCAAACTTTGTAATATTACTAATTCCAAGACGCTCTTTCTAGCTGTGGTGATAGATTTCGTTGTTCTTACTTAGATTAAAATTTAGTCTAAAGCGCAAGTCGTCCATTAGCCATTCCGAAGTTGATGAGAGGACTGGGGACGAGTATTAAAAAGTGCCAAAATTAAGAAATGAACCAAATCACTGAATCAACTAAAAAGACTACCTCAAAATTAGTAAGTATACAAAGTTTGAAGACGTTTACATGAATACTCTTCGAATAATAAGCTTTCGAAAATTGTGAAATTACTGATTAAAAGACTGTTTTTGGGACGCGCGACCCCAAAAACAAAAATTACAATACATTTCATAGTAAATATCGCGTTTTCGAAAGCTTATTGTTCGAAGGATATTCATGTAAACGTCTTCAAACTTTGTATACTTACTAATTTCGAAGTGGTCTTTTTAGTGAACACTCATCCCCAGTCCACTCATCAACTTCGGAATGGCTAATCAGTGGTGCAACTTTACTTTTTTGATCACTTGCCCTCAAGGCAAATTAGACATGAAAATTAGTTGCCCTGAATAAAATTCACTTGCCATCAGCCAATGGCCACTGGGGTGTCTAGGTATAGGGGGTATACAGTATAACAGCTTTTACACCAGTTTTGAAATATATTAAATAATTATTGATCTTGTGCTCTTTATCAATGATTTAAGAAAGCAAATCAACCACTAGTCACATACTCACCAAAGCAGTAAATCAAGATCTGGCGTTTGAAGTTGACGCCGTTTGGCGTATAAATTATATGCTTGAACTGCTACGAGGGCTTGTAGTCGTTAATGCATGAAATTTATACGCCAATTAAGGGAACAACATGTCGACTCATTCTCCCACTGCTTAATATATGGCTATTTTATACTGCCTCAGATCTATCTTTGGTCCACGATAAACAAAATTTGAATCAAGCACAGCACTATAAAAAATTATATCCGACAATGAAAACATAAACTTAAAAATGCTCAACTTTTTGTGGCAAGGCAACTTGCCCAAGACAAAACGTTTACTTGCCCGTCATGATATTCACTTGCGCCGGGCAAGTGTTAAGTTACACCTCTGTTTCAGAGTACAACTTGCTCTTGCACTTAATTTACATTTTTCCAACGTATCAATTCTAGATTCAATGCGATATTTGCGGCTCGAAGTTTTGCTCAGCTCAGGGCCACTTTTAATGAATATGCAAAGGTATGTGTGGATTTATGCTGGTTAGTTGGGTTGAGCATGTCATTTGGTGGTGCTTATTATGAGAGGGGGACATCAGTTCATGTACAGTAACTGATGTAGGGCTGGAAGGAAACATTAGTGTGTGGTGGTGATATGGACACTTGGTATATTGTGTTTTAGATCTGTAAATATGATATTGAGAAGTCAGTGGACAGGGAGATGTCAGGGGATCTGAAGAATGCCATGACTACCTTAAGTATGATCATTGAACATGTTTCCTGAATAAATAATATAAAATAAAAAGTAATATAAAAAATAAATACATAATAATAAAGACTTCATAATAAACTGTTAAAAAATCCCATCAGCAATGCTGCTGGTATCAACGGGAGAACAGTGATTACAATTCCCATACACTACAAATATGAGACTTTTTGCCAAGTTCTAAAAGATGCGTGTAAACAGTACGTTTAAATTTTGAGAAAGAATATCATTTCTCTAATGTTTGAAGGTAAAGAGTTCCAGTCTTTTGCACCAGCATACTTGAATGTTGATTGACTCATTCTTGCACTGTTCACCTTCGGAAGGTCAAGCAGCGTCTTATCCCTCATGTTTCTGTTGTGCATGCAACGTCTGAATTTGAACGGAAATTCGAATGAGACTCAATCTGAATTTGAAATCTCTCAGTTGGCTAGGGCAGTCCAAGTTATACAGTATCTTGTAAATATGCTGTGCAATGATTTAACTCCTATGCTATGCAATGATTTAACTTCAGTTCAGAATTCAGGAGCCGTACAAACTGTGAACACTCTGTCATTCTTTTTCTAGTTCAATGCGTGCGCAATACTCCAGGATATTTTGCAACGAAGTTGTACAAAAGTATGAAAGGTCTGGGCACGGATGACGCGACGTTGATACGTGTCGTAGTGACGCGATGTGAGGTAGATATGGTCGTGATTAAACAAGAGTTTCAAAGACAGTACCAGAAGACATTGGCCAGCTTTATTAAGGTATGAAATATACACACATAAAAATCCCACAACTTGTCAACAAGATGTGTTCGCAACAGGCTTGTAGCAAGCTTGTCAACAAGTCGTAACAATGCTGTTATTTTATCAAGTTGCTACAAGGTTGTCACTCGCAACTTGTTGACCATTTGCGTAATAGACTAAATATTTGATCTAGACAAAAATTTCATCACAGCTTGAAAGAGCATCACAAAATTAGTAATATTCCAAAGTTTCGTTGCGAAATGTTGTAAAATGCGGATAATATAGCCTTGCGAAGTTTGCGATTTTCAGTCATTTTAGATTACAAACGGGAAATTGACAGCCCAATACCCTTTGGGGCCTTTGCTTTGGGGCATCAATTTCCCGTTTGTAATCTAAAATGACTGAAAATTGCAAACTTCGCAAGGCTATATTATCCGCATTTTACAACATTTCGCAACGAAACTTTGGAATATTACTAATTTTGTGATGCTCTTTCAAGCTGTGATGAAGTTTTTGTCTAGACTTGTTTAGATCAAAATTTAGTCTATTACGCAAATGGTCAATTGCAGGACGATAACAAGTTGTTGGAACAACTTGTAACAAGTCTGTTGAGCTCAACAACCTTGTAGCAAGCTGCCATGCAACAAGCCGTTGACAAATTGTCAACAAGCTTGGAACAAGCAGTGCGAACACATCCTTGTTGGAACAGCATTGCTACAAGTCTGCTGCAGGTTTGTTACAACTTGTGCGTTTTTGTGTACTACACGCGTAAAAACGCACAGCTTGTAAAGCCTAGTTCTCATTCATCGCAATCTGTCACCGACGATCGGCGACGCTTATCGCCGATACTCGCCGAGCGCGAATGCACGAAAGTTCTCATACATCGGTGATCGTCGCAGATGACAGCCGATGTGTTTCGAAATTTCCCAAATTTCCCACAAAATGGGCCCATTCAACGTAAAGTTCATGATTTCTGTCAAACTTCAATTGATTATTTCCTTGCTTGTTGAGGAAAAAACAACTTTTACTCATTTCTCATAGATTTTTTAAGCAGGTGGCAGTCGGCGATGGTCGCAAGAAACAAACTTTTTTGTTTCCTGCGATGTCATCGCCGATGGTCGGCGACGATTACGGACAATCGGCGATATAATTTTTGATGTGTTCTCATAAATGGCAAGCGGTCGCCGACGTCGCAAAGCTCCCATCGCCGACGGTTTGCGATGAATGAGAACTAGGCTTAACAGGTCTGCAAACAAGTTGTTACAAGTCTGTTCACAAGCTGTCAACAAGTTGTGTTCGCACTGCTTGTTCCCAGTTTGTTGTAACAAGTTTGGAACAAGCTGTTAACAACTTGTAACAAGCTTGATGGCATTATCAGCATTGTTACAAGACTGTCACAATTTTTTTTACAGCCATGATATAACAAGGATGTTACAAGGTTGACGACACAAGGTTGTAACAATCTTGTTATATAAAGCATGTAACAGACTTGTCACAACAACCTTGCAACAAGTCTGATAATTTCGACAAGGTTGTTACAAGTTGTCAACAAGTTGTTCCAAACCTGTTGACAACTTGTGACAAGCAGTGCGAATACATCTTGTTGACGGCTTGTGTATTATATATTGTTGTGTATTATATATTGTTGTGTATTATGCAAGCCTCGAATTTCCCTGAAATCAATCGACGGCAATGGCGTTAAAAATTGCCGTAGAACGTAACAGCTGTCCACGGCAATTTTGGAAGTTTCCACGGCATTTTTCAAATTACTGTAATAAAACTTTAATTTTATTGTTACCTTGGATTTTTGACAAGCTAGAAAATGTCTATGTATTTCTTTAGTGTTTTTTTTTCGAAGAAAACTGAGACTAAAATAGTGATTTACGCATGATTTGATCAACATCTCAGTTCAAGTATCAAAATAGTAATGCACAGTGACTGAATAGTATAAAAATTGCACTACACAGCAAAAAATTGCCGTCGTTGCCGCAATGATCCACGGCATTTTGTTCTCCCTCTACGGCAATTGCCGCGATAAAATTCGAGCCCTGGACTATTATGTATTGTTCTTTATCACAAACACGCGGACCTCATGCAGAATGTCAACATTTTGTTTTTAGGGTGACACAAGTGGCAATTATCGTAAAACATTGCTTGGGCTTATTGGAGAGCCTGAAAATTAATCAACCACAAATCAAGTTTGGTATGCCGTTTGAAAAATATACCATCCTGGCAATTTTTTCTTGAGCAAAAAGCAAGCTATGTAGATAGACATGAAAATTCATTTTCTCAAAATCATAACAAGTATTGGTGGGTTATACTGTATAGTGTGGTAATTACTATAGACATGGGGCCGGTTGTTGAAAGGTGGGTTAGTGCTAACCCTGGGTTAAAATTTAACCTGCTGTTTTAGTTTGTGTATTTCTGCACGTCTGCTTATTTCAAAACTTCAGCGAAGTAAACTCCTATCGATCTAGACAAGATCTCTGAAAAAATATTTCCAAATTTATATACATTAGACAAGCCGTTAGGAAGTTTGCTTTGAATTTTAGGTTAACATAGGGTTTTAAACTAACCCAGCTTTGAACAACCGGCCCATAGTGGTCAGCTTGAAATATATACATACTGAGCAAGCGAATGATCCTAGCGGCTAACTGTTTCCATGACATGCGTTTCCAAACACAAGCTCAGTACACATAGTGAATAATGACGCCTGTGTTCCAAAAGCTCACTCACACTCAAAGAGTGGAGGTTCAGTTTTGAACTTCTCTTGAGTGTCAATGCTGTTTTTGAATAGCTGGAGGGTGAGTAGTCGCATAGTAAGGTGCGGGACTAACCCTCCAGGGGCCGGTTGTATAAAAAAGTGATTAAAAGTAACTACAGTTAGTGGAAACGTCATCCAATAAGAAGCGCGTATTTGAGAGTTAATCACTATTTAACTACAAAATAGTGATTAAAAAAGTGATTAAGAGTTTTATACAACCGGCCCCAGCTATTCAAAAACAGCACTGACACTCAAGGGAAGCTCAGATTGAACCTCCACTCTTTGAGTGCGAGTCAAAGTGAGTGAGCTTTTAGAATACAGGCACCAGTCTTTCTCGCAGCCGATTTTCCCGCCATTTTTCGGGTACTACTTCTCCCACGTTTGAGAGTCTGCGCACCACGAAATCAACAACTTTCAGTATTGTAGTTGTTTGTATAATGCCAAATGTACAGTTATAACTTTTAAAAGTCGATTTTCACGTTTGAATTGTCTAGAATCTTTCACGAGGGCAGACAGTACCTCAAAAATGGCGGATTTTCGTTTTTGCGAGGCCTGTTTCATACGTCGCACTTCTCATGACCTGAACGCATTAAAAACAATAGATAATGAGGCATTTCAGCTGATTATCTATTATTTTTAATGTGTTCGGCACATGAGAAGCGCGACGTTTGAAACAGGCCCGAGAAAGGCTAATTTAACAGTCACTCTGATGACTTTATTTTCAAGTTGACTACCAAAACATCTAAGTATAGTTACAGGATTTAACGAGAAAATATATTTTCTCTTACATTATAATCATTGACAACCTATTCAATCTAGAATATGATCACTAATTTAATCAATAACGTTTTCACATTGATGCAGCAGCTCATAATGAATATTAATTACAAAATTATTTACATAATTTTACTAGATAATTTGTAGGTAGATGGATATGAAATCACGTACTATGTTATAAGTCACTAAATAAATATAATGTATGTATGTTGTGCATAATAAATATTCTATCAGCCATGAATTAACAATCGGTTTGTCAATATGAGGAAGTTATGTAACAGATAGTTGTTTATATTTATATGGCTCGGCCTTTTGATTTGCTTTGAAAGCTTTGATAAAGTAGAATATACTAGCAAGATCCATCAAAGCTCCAGAAAACGGCACTTGCCAGCCATATTTGACATTGATGTAGCAAACCACAGAAAGACCAAGGTAGAGTAACCCTCGTTTCCATGTGTCGGCGGCGAGAACAAACGACCAACATTGGCGAACAAGCGACTGTTCACTGCAGAGAAATAAGAATAATGTTCAACCACACTCTCGAACAGACTTAGCCTCGTAGCTCAGTTGGCAGAGCATTGGACTAGTATCCCAAAGGTCGCGGGTTCGATTCCCGCCGTGGCCAGGCTAACATTTCAGCCTGCCAGGTGTGTGGATATACACTCAGAGTAACATCAAAAAACATATTCACCTGAGTACATAACATCAGAACACACAAAAAATATCGTGTTCAAGAACCTTTACAAAACCTGGTGATGAGTTCAAGAAGGTACTGGGTTCAAGAATCTTCAATTTTACAAAACCTGGTGACATTTATTGGGTCAAAACATTAAGAATGGAAACTTTTGTAAGTTGTACCTGCAGCAAACTGAGAATACTTTGTCTAAAACCAAACTTATTTCAAGAAACGTCATCGCTATTCCACACAATCTAAAACAATGTACAACGAAGGATGAGCTCAAACAAAAGAGCCAGGTAAAGTCATATCAAGGGTCAATGGATCTTATTGTTTATTGATGTTTGACCCAATGGCCTTGTTTTCGTGTCAGGTATTTACTTGTGTTTCGTGCACAGTAGTGTTAAGAACTTACTTGTTATTGGGCTTATAACCTTCATGTGCGCCTGTCATGCCAAAACTGGCAAACACGAAAACGAGGCCATTGGGTCAAAAGTGAATAAACGGTAAGGTCTATTACTTTGAGTCGACTTACATTAAGTATATACCAATATCTTGATGCTCGTCAACTATGGTGACAGCAATCCCCCAAATGCCTGAAAACACAAGTTGTATTAATATTGTAGCAAGTTGTCATGTTGCGAACTAGTCTGCTGTGAACCCAGATGTCATTTCAAAGTTACTTTTCGGGTGAAGAATGAGCATGGGAAACAACGTCTGGGTTCACAGACTAGTTGTGAACAAGCAGTGCAGATGCACCATGATATCAACTTGTAGGGACAACTTTGGAACAAGCCTACTCCAGAGCTAATTTTAGATACACTGTCACGTGATTGTACCATTTATAAAATGATTATTCTACATTTTACAAAAATACATCCCAAAAATAACTTCAGCTGTTGAACAGACAATACTGGATGATATTATACTAAGCCGTTTATTACAAGGATTACTAGACTAGCATTCAGGCTTATATGTTGTACAATGAACACGTGTAATATTTTATATATATACATAAGTACTACGTATTAATATTATTTTTACCTATCGTACATGCGAAGCCAATTAGATTTGTTAAAACATTCCATTTTCGCCAAACGAAATTGGAAATTCGTTTATCATCGTCAAAAGCATAACGTCTTTGTTCATTCATGGCTGATTATAAAGTGAATTTACACCGCAATACGTTGAATTATCCGCAGTTGCTCTTTTTTTAAAACCATTTAATAAACTCGACCCGACAAACAAAACCTCTGAAACAAAACAATATAAACAGGGAAGCAGAGCCACTTTAATAATACTTGCAAGGGATTCTTCCCCGGGGCAAAAGTTCGTATATTATTGGAGAGTCTGGTCCAGTCATGAGATTGAGATCAGTGTACTGTGTACACTGAACTCAAAGTAGCACACTGAACTACTGGGTATTCCAGTATCTTTATGAGATCAGTATACACTGAGCTCAAATTATAACTGAACTGTTACGTTTTTGGAGGCCTGGTAACTAGCCGGCGCCATATTTGATGTTCGAAAATCATGCTTCGACCACAAGTTCAACTTTCATTCGTGTTTTAAAACATTTATAATTTTATTTCGTGCATTCTTTTAAAACAATCCGCCAATTCAGACACAGTACCAATGGAAAAACCTCGCATTGAGCAAGTTTTACAAGCTATTGACGCGCTATACAACATTCAAAATGCCGAAGGAAAAGAAGCTGCCTCAAAGTGGCTGGAAAATTTGCAGACTTCGGTAGGAAATTTGCCTGTATTTTGTCGTTGTTTGTTGTTTTCTTCGTGTTTAGGTTGTAGAATTGAAGAATGTCTTGTGTGCTGGCAGAATAGTTTGGTTTTACTGCGATTATTAATGTGGCTATCTGTGTTTATAAACGGGATTTATTTGGTCATGTGTGTGTGTGTCTGACAGACAGGCGTCTGACATTTCTGTCTGTTTACACTGTATAAATTGTAACCAACTCTTAGCAAGGGGTAAAGTGAATGTAATTTTTGCCAGCAATTTCTTGCCTGTTGTCCAGGTTGACATATTTCTTTGGCATATCTGATACAGTAAAGCATTAATTTCTACATCAACTTTATATAAACAGCAATCTTTGTATGAAATACAACTACATGAACAAAATAAACAGAACTTGAATTTTTCGAACCAAGATCCTTTGTCGAGAAGTTAGTAGCTAAGCTTCCTATAAAGATTGCTGATTGTTCTCATCCTCAGTGGCGGAAATCTTGGTGGGGCAGGGGGCGACCGCCCCCCCCCCCCTTCATGGAAAATTGATGAATTTTTGGAAATTTTGACCTAAAAGAGGGCTGGAGGGGGGTATGTCGGAAATTTGGGGGGTATGTCAGAAATTTGAAAGTTTTGTCGGAAGTTTAGGAGGCTTGCCCTAAAAGTGAATTTCCGCCACTGCTCGTCCTACCTAGTCCCTGGCACAGACATTCAAGTACTTACAGAAGCCTTTTCCAGCAGTGTCTTGCTGTGGTTGTTTGTACCTGAAGACCTGTGAAAATTATAAAAACATTAAACACAGATGTTGTGAACAAAGGCCACTTATGGGTCATTCCAGAAAACCTCCACACCTTTCCCATGGTGGAATTGGAGGTTACCCACTCGGCACTCCCCACCCTCTTTGGATGCCCTTGTATATTTACTATTATCAGAAGTGGCCAGTGGGTTCTCCTCTGGAATGGCCCAATGTCCTGATGAAAATGTTGAAGCAGTTGCAATTTTTTTGAGGTAGTTCAGACACAAACAGGGATGCCGGAACTGGAGGGGCAGCTGCCCCTGTTGTCCTTTACCAGGAGGGGCAAGGGGGGCAAAGGTGTCCTTTCAATTTAAAGGATTTCTTGGCGAAATAGCGAATTGTCAGAAATGTTAGTGCAATTCTTTTACGAATTTGCTTCAGAAAACGCAAGAAATGCAGTCATCGAGCTTCAAGAATAGCACAATCACCTAGCGGAGAACCCCCTCAAACCCTTATCATCCGATAAATAGAAAACATGATTAGGCGAAGTTCAACTCCCGATGTTTTGCAAAAATCTCTTAGTATATATCAATTCAAAAGTGCCCTTTCACGAAAATCTGCCCCCCTTGCCTTCGCATCGTTCCGGCGTCCCTGGACACAAACCACAGCAGCTTATTTTAGCTTGCTATTTATGGCGGACATTTGTTTCCAAATGTTGTTTTCAGGTATTTGCATGGGAGATTGCAGATCAGTTACTGACAACAAAACAAAGCACAACAAGTTGTTTTATTGGAGCTCAGACAATGAGAACAAAGGTGAGAAGGGCCATTGCTGAGCAATGTCAATAAAAATATTTCCCAAAGAACATATTTTCTTACCTGTGATGCAGACTCGCTCTTTCAACCTAAGCTGTTGTTTGTAATTCGTCATGTTTTCTGTAAATTTTATATTTTTTCTCGTCTTTGATTTATGTTTGTTATAGTTTGTTTTCATTAAGGTTGGTCTTCACATGGGGCTATTCATGTCCTGTTGACCATACCTTCAACCATATTATGTAGTGGTTTAATCTATTTTATGTATGGTTGTAAAGTTAATAAATAAATAAATAGACTCATTAGCCAATTATAAAGTCTGCATTACAGGCTACCTACCCTATGTTTTTGGGTTATGAAACCAGGACCACAGAATAGGATAGATTCATAGATATCTGTTAGGTGTTGTTATAAGTTTATGATTTTTGTTGTAGATTCAGTATTTCTTTCACGAACTTCAACCAGTGCAATACGAGGTAAAAATTAGGAAAATGTAAATAACTATGACGATGCTTAAACAAAAGTCATCCTGAAAACTATTTTTTCTTATCCAGAGTTTAAAGAACTCGCTACTCAATCATATCACTCAACTACACAATTCAACACAAGCTATTCTCAACCAGGTGAGTTCATGTATCCATGGAAAATATCCATGACTTATGATACTTTTGATGGCTGATAATGGGTGCACTTCCTGGAAAAAAATTTTTCCCCAGGAAATCCCCCCCCGAGAATCTGCCATGGAAAATCGTGGTCCTGTAAAATCTGCCCCCAACCAAAGATGCCTGGATTTATCCTTGAAAGATGCCATTAATAATATGTTGTTCACTAAAGATACCATTATATCATTTGTTTGGATTATATTCTAGCTTTGTTTGGCTGTTGCTGATCTTGCTGTTCAAATGCCACAATGGTCAAATCCTGTTACAGATCTTGTAGAAAGGTTGGTCTTATTGCTTAAGTATTACAGTAATTTCACCAGAAATATTTAGCATACTGTATTTAAGCTTTGTACTTTACATTCTCTGCAAACTCCTAAGTACTTTATTATACTTTTAGATTCAGTAAAACTATACAGATGATTCCTGCATTGTTGGAAATATTACAATACCTAACAGAAGAGGTAATACATGCACCACAGATTTTCTTCATGTCCATGTACTCTGATTTCTTTTGCAGTAACATTTGACCAATGGATCATTTGCATTATAGACTAAATTTTTATCTAGACAAAAATTTCATCACAGCTTGAAAGAGCATCACAAAATTAGTAATATTCCAAAGTTTCGTTGCGAAATGTTGTAAAATGCGGATAATATAGCCATGCGGAGTTTGCAATTTTTCAGTCATTTTGTATTACAAATGGGACATTGACAGCCCAATCGGGTGTTGGGGCATCAATTTCCTGTTTGTAATCTAAAATGACTGAAAATTGCAAATTTCGCAAGGCTATATTATCCGCATTTTACAACATTTCGTAACGAAACTTTGGAATATTACTAATTTTGTGATGCTCTGTCAAGCTGTGATGAAATTATTGTCTAGATCAAAATTTAGTCTATAATGCAAATGATCCATTAGGCAATAGGCATGACTCTCACTGATATATCCAACCCAACACAGCCATCTATTCAACAATTGTTTTACTTCTGCAGGTGAAAAGTGAACATCTGCGTGTTGGAGCGAACAGACGTGAAGAAGTTGCAAATCAATTAAGACAATCCTCACTTGTCGTCATTCAACTACTGGTGTGTTGTGTTGAAATATCTAGTGGACAATCTAAACAATGTGAAAAGCGACCTTTCATAGTTCTGTAAATTTACCATCGATACATGCCAATACAGTGATAAAAGTTTACATTTTGTGGTGTGTACACTTTCAGATTTGGGGGGCAGTACCCAAAAAATAGTAGCCTGCAAACAGGCTCTCAAGCTGAATTGAGAGCCTGCATCGATGACTAATGAATTTGAATATCTGCCCCGTAACGTTCGTTTTTCCAAATATGGAATGTCTATCCTTGTATGGTGTTGTTTACAACTTTCGTGCAAACTAAATTTAGACTGTGTAAACTAAATTTAGACCATACAGTTTATACTATTTTTCGAAATATAAGATATTCAAGCAAAAGTTCAAATGTTTTAAATACTGTTTTCTCAAAACAGAACATTTCGTGCTTTGAGATAAGATGGCCAAGACCAATTTGATCAGTTAATGTGTTTTTTATGCATAGTGTTTCAGCAGTTGACATATATATAGCTCAGCGGAAACATATAAATTATAGCATCTGACCAATGAGAATTTAGCGTCACGATTTGAGACGCAGATATTCAAATTCATTAGTCATCGATGCAGGCTCTCAATTCAGTTTGAGAGCCTGTTCGCAGGCTAAAAAAATAGGGGATAAACTGTGCATGTAAAAGGCTTATTGAGTTTTGTTTTTGCAGAATGCGTGTGTGGAGCAATGTCCTAACGAAGAACAGATACGGATAAAGGTCGGTGTTATTAGACAGTTTATTTCACCAGAAGTTTTATTTAATTTATAGTTATACCGGGTTCATCAATAAAATTTCCACTTATCTTTTTAAGATATTTTGCTGTCTTGGTGGTTGGTTGTTGCTGGGAGCCTACCCACCTGACGAAGTTATGAAGAGTCGACTTTTACCTGTTTTATTTGAAACTCTGGTGAGTTGCAAATACAGAAGAGAAGGAAGTTGACGTTTTTTTATGTTTGTGGTCTACAGCAGTCTTTTGTGGAGTTCTCAGTTTCCTTTATCTTTCAACATTTTTTTGACTTTCTGCTGTTTTGTTTATGATGCAGTTTATTCATCAAAAAGTGCTTTTCATTTAGGTGAACGACAAAGCCAGTGATAACTTGCAAGAGGCTGCTACTGACGTTCTTTGCTATGCTATCTTCTCCGTGGGTGTATGTATTGACGTTTCTACAATGGTTATGTTAACAGCAATTTTAAAATCATTTAACCCATTGGAGCACTAGCACTCTTGAGCAAAGTCATCTGGCATTAGACAGAGTAAAATAGTAAAGTAGGCAACTTAATGGGTTAATATTTATTGTTTTATAAATCAATTGACAGGATTTGGGACCGCAGAGTCAGATGGCGGCTGCTCTCTCGTCTGAAGTTTTAAAACTCGTGCCTATGTACGAACAAGCAAAAAGTAATAGCGATCACGACAGGTAAGAGTGAAAATTATGAAATACGAGAATGTATTCTACAATGAACTGTCGTGGTTTGTGTCTGAACTCCTAAAAAGAGATTGAATACACTTCAGCATTTTAAGAAATCTGAGACAGTTTATTGTAGAATACTACCTACGCAAGACCACCACGTTTGAGATATCTTTTTCAGGTAGTTCAGACACAAACCACGACAGCTTATTTATATTTCTGATATCTTGATAGGTGTTTAAACTTTTGTCGTATCTTTACTGAACTTGCTGAGTCCACACTAGACGCTGTATTGTCTTCAAAAGGATTGGTATGTTGCTAAAAAATATTTTATCCTTTTTTCGTTGGTATGGGAGAGGATTGTAATGTTCGTCTTCTTTTGTAGAATGCTTTAGATTTAAAGATTGTTGAAATGATGATAAAGTGTCTTCAGCATAGCGAGTATGAGGTATGCTGATGTCATTTTCAGTTTTTAATACACAATTCCCATTATGGACTGATTTTAAAACTAGGCAAGGAGATGCAAATAAATCACCACAGCTAGAAAGAGTATACTAGAATGAGTAAAATTGCAAAGTTTGGTTGCGAAATGTTGTAAAATGCGGAAAATATAGCCTTGGAAAGTTCGCAAATTTTGTATACTTTTGTATTGCGTGCGGAAATTGCTACCACATTTGGGCCGAAAATGCAAACAATTTCCGCACACAATACAAAAGTATAAAGAATTTGCGAACTTTGCAAGGCTGTATTTTCCGCATTTTACAACATTTCGCAACCAAACTTTGCAATTTTACTAACTTTAGTATGCTCTTTCTACATGTAGCTGTGGTGATTTATTTGCATATCCTTGCCTAGTTTTAAAATCAGTCTCTAATAATGGGAATTGTCTATTGGAACGCAATGAAGAAGGCGTCCCGGACGTGTTATTTTTGTCAAATTTAGTTTGCATTTATTCTAGATTGAAACTCTGAACAATCCTTTTCTATTAAGGTGGCTGAGGTGACGTTTAATTTCTGGTACAGTTTGTCAGAGGCGATCTATAGGGAAGATTTGAAACAGAGAAGAGAAGGTTTCTTACCTTACTACCAGGCAATGTTTCAGCAACTTTGCCTCACAGGCAAGCTGGATAACGATACGGTAAGATGAGGCGATTTTGCTGCAACTCAGTTGTAACGCAATGATGTTTTGTGTTGTTACTCTGAGTGTGCATCCACACCGTGCGAGCTGAAAAGTTTGCCTGATCACGGTGGGTATCGAACCCGCGACCTTCGGGTTACTAGTTCAATGCTCTACCAACGTCGGCTCGTAGCTCAGTTGGTAGAGCAGTTCAACAGTAGTTCAACGTTCAAACATCAATAGCGCAGTCGATATTGCATGTAAATTAAAGTGTTATACCTGTATATCAAAATCTAAGTTAATCCTGTGAATGCAATGAGGAAAAAAATGTGGGTTTCCGGTTTCTTCTTATAAAAACTTAGGTTGGGTAGGTCGGTTTTAACTTTTTTTTAACTTTTTTTTTTAGTTTTCCTAACAACCGGACGCCATTTTGTTTAGTCAGTGCTTCCACATCCAAAGATAAATTTCCCTAAAATTGCCTCAAATTTCAATTTTCCACAAACTTTTTCCTCTAAGTGGAAACACTTACAAGCATGATCCAATAAAAAAGTTCAGGGTCGGGATTTCGACGTCCAAAAGCTAGGTAGGGTCGGGAAACCGGAAACCCACATATTTTTTTTTGGCCTGATCTTTATTAGCTTTTACGTTACATGAAATCAAACAGTGTGCAGTTTTTTCCATACAAACAGTATTTAATTTAAAAAAAAAAGAAATGGCAATTTTTCCAAAAGCCGTATAGGCTTATCTAGGGAAAGCTTGCCTGACATTAATAAATACATAGTTTGTAGTGAAATTAATAAATATATAGTGACCAGGCTTTTAGCCAGGGTGTCAAAACTGGCCGTCCAAAAAATAGCGTGGGTGTACCTATTTTCATGAACATGGTAAAAAACATGGAGCTTGAAATCAGTGGTGATATACTCATAATTCAGCGTCTTTTGTTGTAGAACATACGGATAAACAACGTACAGTTGATAACTTTTTAGGTATTAAAGAAAACAGTTTCTTAGGCCGTCTTTTAAAATGTGGCCGTCTTAGTTTCAAAGTGGCCGTCCATAGGACGGTTGGACGGCCGCCTGGCTAAATGCCTGATAGTGACAACGAAACGTATAGGAAAAAGAATAAAATAAATCTTGACACACACATCGCCATGCACCTGCAGAATTAACAGCGTCTTCTATCTTACAAGATGAACATTACCGCAAGGCATGGCTGAAAAGTGTTCTTGATTTTAACAAAAGCGTTTAGTATTCACAATAAAGTTTTGAACGATTAGAAAAAGATTAGCATTTGTATATGCTGCGAAACGTCGAGATGACCGTTCAAAAACGCATTTTTCTTGTTGAATTTAACCATTTGGAACCAAAAATCCAGGGTTTTTTTTTGGTCTTGCTGCGTCAACATTTCTGCAAGACTTACTGAGACCTACCATCAGGGCAGGAAAAAATAATTTTCTTCCTGGGAGCACAACCTGGAGACAAAAATTCCCTGCAGACCAACGGCAACAGAGTATTTTTGTGCTAAATCTGCATGTATATAAACATACAGTGCTTTGGCTGACCATATATAGTTTTAAATTCAAGGTATGTCGGCCAACCATATGTTGTTGCGCCGCCCATAGTGGGGCATGGGTGTTAAGGTTTCCTTCAAATTTTCAATAGCAAATCTTCATTCAAACGAATTTCCTGCAGCTGTTTAACATTTCCTGCGAGCAGTGCTCGCGTGCTCGCCTATTTTTTCCACCCCTGCCTACCATTGTATGTTTTGTAGGTTGCAATACCAAAGCCTGATGATGACTTCAATGAATTTCGAGAAAGAGTTGTTGAGTTAGTGAAAGACTGTGTTTTTATGCTTGGCTCTGATGCGCTCTTTTCACAAGTAAGTTATAGGGTGTCCGTGGGTCTTGAAAATCCTGGAAAGTCCTTGAATTGGAAAAAAAAAATCCAGGACTGGAAAGTCCTTGAAAATCAGTAGAAGTCCTTGAAAGTCCTGGAATTAATTTCCTTAACCTCCAGCTGTGCCAACATTAGTGATTTTGATAAAAAATTACTGAATGAAGTGATTTATTTGCTGGGCAAATCCGTGCCATTTTTCAAAGATTTTTCCCAGTTCTAGGTCCTTGAATTTACTGAAAAAGGGCCTTGAAAGTCCTGGAAGTTATATATACCTTTGTTTTATCACTTAATGACAAGATGGCGTTTGGATAAAAATTGTGTCTTTTTCAGTTATGTCAGACAGTCATTCAAGAACATGGCAAAGTGATGTGGCAAGATGTTGAAGCCAAATTATTCATTATGGCTGCTGTTGCCACCAATTTTAGAGCGTAAGTAACACGAGACATTCTTAACTCGGCTCAGAATGTCGCGGACTCACTGAATTTCCCAATTTCTTGGCCTTCGAGTTGGTCACGTGTGAACTGCTGGATTTTGCAATTCAGCACTGTTGAAAGCTAGCCAGCACTTGGTTATAGTCGCACTAAAAATCTCATGTGTTTTATTTTTTAGATGTAATCCAGAGATTGTCACCACATTATTCAATCTTGTGTTCAACAAACCCGAAAGCCCAGCACATATCGTTGTGAAATACACTGCCATTAAACTTATCGGTGAACTTGCGCAATGGATTGACAAAAATCCAAAAATATTAGGTAACACTATGTTATGTTTTTGATGTTACTCTGAGTGTGCATCCACACCAGGCAGGCTGAATAGTTTGCCTGACCACGGTGGGAATCGAATCCGCGTCCTTTGGGATACTAGTCCAATGCTTTGCCAACTGAGCTACGTGGTCAAGCCGGTTCGATATACACTCAGAGTAACATCAGAAACATTATATTCACCTGAGTACATAACATCAGAGCACAGTTTATTTTTCTTCAAGGCAGAAAATTGTGCTTCAGGTGAGAAAAGTGCTTCCCAATTTGACTCTATCCATACCAAACAAAATCCAGTTTAGAACTGATAGAGCTATCCAGTATAAATAAAGTTAGTTTAGTTTAGATTTCCTCCTGTAGTAACTCTGGATCAATAAGAGATTATCCTTACTGGACCTCTAGCAAAAACAGTTTAGAACTGATAGACCTATCCAGTATAAATAAAGTTAGTTTATTTTAGGTTTCCTCCTCAATAAGAGATGATCCTTACTGGACTTCTAGGAAGAACAGTTTAGAACTGATAGAGCTATCCAGTATAAATAAAGTTAGTTTAGTTTAGGTTTCCTCCTGTAGTAGCACTGGATCAATAAGAGATGATCCTTACTGGACCAATTGATTGATTGATTGATTGAACTGATAACCTATCCAGTATAAATAAAGTTAATTTAGTTTAGGTTTCCTCATGTAGTAACACTGGATCAATAAGAGATGATCCTTACTCGACCTCTAGCCAGAACAGTTTAGAACTGATAAACCTATCCAGTATAAATCAATTTAATTTAGTTTATATAGAAATACTACCCTGGATTCCAGAGCCTTCGACAGTAAATAATAAATTGATATGTCGCGAAGGCTCTGGTTCAACGGGGCGATTCTTTGATTAAACCGCGCCAATCACAAAGCAGAATTAGTGGTTTTAGTACAGATTCTGTACTAAAACCACTAATTCTGCTTTGTGATTGGCGCGGTTTAATCAAAGAATCGGCCCGTTGAACCAGAGCCTTCGCGGCATTTCAATTTATTATTTACTGTCGAAGGCTCTGGAATCCAGGGTATAGAAATACTTGATATTTCAGACCTTTGGCGACCTATTTACATTTTACTTCATTCTTTATTTAGACTTGGTTCTACAGATATTATATCAAGGATTGCAGACTCAAGATCTTTCCTGTGTCTCTGCGGAATCATTGCAGAAAGTGTGTACTTCATGTCAGAAGAGGATGGCGCATCATTTCACCATTCTTCTGCAGATTGTTCAAGCAATCGATTCACTGTCAATATCAACTGGTGCTGTCCTCGAGTTTTTCCAAGGTATATATTAAAAAAATTATCGACACAAGCAAAAAATTTAAAAAAATATTGGCGTACAAGTTAAAAAAGTACACCGCTCCCCCCGATCACTTTTCTAATGGTCAGCCCCTTATTTGTCCTGTTGTCTGAGTCCTCAATTGTTATAACTGTAAAACTAATAAAAAAGAACAACAAAAACACAACTGGCCTCAGGTCCGTAATAACTTGTGCATTTTTCCTTGTGTAGGTGTTGCGCGAGTTTTATCAGAACTTCCTCGTCAACAAATTGAAGAAGGGATAAAGCAAATATGCCTTCAACAAGTCCAGTTACTGGCACAATTATTAAGAGGACAAAATGGGAGCCATTCTGAACCCATTATGTACTTAGATAGAATTGCCACGATATTTCGGTAAGTAAATATAATAATAATACTTTTTGTTTGTGGAAACATCACGTACATTTATTACTGCAAAGTGCAAAGCTTTCGATGCGTAAGCCCGGATCTTCATCAGTGCTAATAATATGATTAAGCACTTACATATTTGATTTACCCTACATATTATTAGCACTGATGAAGACCCGGGCTTAAGGATCGGAAGCTTTGCAGTAATAAATTTACTTGGTGTTTCCACAAACAAAAAGTAGTATATGTTTTATCGCCATGCAAACCTACCACGAACTTATTTCTAAGTAAATATTAATTTATCTAATTATGATGTTTTTTGTTGTTTTGAAGCGTGTTAAAGAGTTCATTAACAAGTACATTTCTTTCTTTCAAGATACACTGAAGTAAAAGCGAATGATGGGGAAAAGCATCCTTGTTTTGATATTGTTCAAGAGGTAAAAATTTTTTATAATTGTGTAATATACCGAGGAAGAGTTACAGTATAGCCAGCATCTCAGGTTTGAACTCCAGAATTTGGAATCCTTTGAATTTGGAATTCTTCAAGGCTCGCTATGAGTTCTATAGCCATGCCTCAGTACCTTTTCTCGGCAGCAGCTTAACTTTGAAAGAGGTTTATAATGGACACATTTTGATAAAACCGTCCTGTGTCATTTATCAGGTGTGGCCTGTCGTGTCGATGACATTCAGGAAATATCAGACAGATGTAAGAACGATGGAGCGTTGTTGCAGGTAAAGTGTTAATTATAGAGACTTGCAGATTGACGTTTATGGCAAATGACAAACTTCAATTTTAAGGTCAACTGTTTGCTGTTCAAAGTTAGGGCAACTTGTGCATCAAACTTAAAGCATGAATGAGCAACTTAGCTGTCGAAAACTTGAGGAGCTTTCCTTCAAATGCGATTTGAAGTTTACGGTTAGCGGTTAGCCCAAGCGAGTATGGGTGCATGAGAGTCGGTTGTAACGAGACCTTGGTTGGCTGTTCTTAATGCTTTTCCAACACTATCATGTATTCTATTGAAGTTAAAACATAGTTGGAACTCTCATCAAACCTTTATTTTGTTCATCTAGAGCTTGAAATGTCCCCTGTGACAATGCGTGACTGGCACTGTCATCAACTCTAATTGCTCACTGACGCGTCACAGCAAACATTGTTACCATGGATAATAAAATAAATGGATAGGAAACTAGCTGACGTGACCTCATGTTTTCACTGGGCTGATGGCGTGGTTGGATGCCTCAACCTAGTTGAAAACCAAATTCTCAAAAACGGCATGTTTAGCAATAATACAGCTAAACAATTTAGTGAAAGAGCAAATAAATATAACCACGCCATTCTACGATGAAAACTCTAAGTATTCCCAGTCAATTTTAGCAAATATTTCAAGCACTAAACAGTGAAAAATACATCACAAATTTCGTTAAAATTTGTGACGCCAATTTCGTGGCTACAAATGTAAAAAAAATACAAAACAAAGACGAAAAACATTTACCTTGAATACTTTGTCGTGGCTTAGGCATGTTTTTAAGACAATTAGACCAGTTTATGCTTCAATATCACCCTTTTAAAGTGGAAAATATAGCAAAACAACAAAAATGCCGAGAACTTTGGTAATATTCGCAATACGCGTGACGTCGCGTTTTTCAACAAGGGTGAGTCGATGACGTCAGGAAGTTTCCTATCCAGTTATTTTACAATCCATGTTGTTACTTAGCATGTACAAAACATTTTTTCTTTAGATGTGTGAGATTTATTATCCGCTGTCTGGGAACACATTTCGTTCCGTTATTGGGTCAGTTAGTGAGTGAGATCATTCAAGTGTACTCTACCACACATCATTCATGTTTTCTTTATCTTGGGAGTATATTGGTTGACGAATTTGGAACGAGTAAAAACTGTGTATCCGGTCTAATAAAGATGCTCGAGGTATGTTGATAGATGGGGGTGGACAAAGGGGGGAGGGGGGGGGGGCGGACAAATGTAATAGCTAACTACGGTGAACTAATAAATTCTTTGGTTTGCATTAATAAATATACATGGTGTTTCCGCAAAGCAAAGTTTCTACAGGGTTCAGCCCATGGAACTCAATACTCTGCTCTGGCAGTTTTAGACCACATAACTAGTGAGAACTAATTTGAGGACCTCTTGACCTGTGCTTATAAAGTATTAATGTTATTTTCTATTCTATTCTATAGGCATTCTGTCCTCCAACTTTTGCGTTCTTGTCAAGTCCTGAAGCTTTTGTTCATCACCCTGATACAGTTGACGATCTGTTTAGACTTTGTACCAGGTGTGTATTCCCTCGTGTAGTAACACTGGATCAATAAGAGATGATCCTTACTGGACCTCTAGGAAGAACAGTTTAGAACGGATAGAGCTATTCAGTATGAATAAAGTTGTTTAGTTTAGTTTTTCTCCTGTAATAACACTGGATCAATAAGGGTACCAGTATAAGTTAGAGTTATAAACCGAGAAGGAGGTTTATAACTGATATATTGCCCCCGAGGACGCGTAGCGTCCGAGGGCAATATATCAGTTATAAACCGACTTTCGAGGTTTATATCTAACTTATATCTCATTTGTGGAGGTTTTCTAACATATTTTGTCATTTTCAAAAATTTTTGATGAAAAATTCTCGCGTTTTGTCGAAAAGTTTGATGTAATTATTTATTCAAGGTATATTAGCTAGTTATAAACCTCGGACGATCAAAGAAAACCGACACAAATGAGATATAAATAAAGTTAGTTTAGGGTCGAATGTATAGAATGGTCAGCTATGATTTATTATCTCATATCATTTATTTCTTTGTCTAGATGTGTTCAAACCTGTCCAATAGAGTTTCTGAAATGTTCAGCCGCAGACAATCTGATCAAATATGCAGTAGCGGCCTCAACGTTGTCACACAGAGAAGCGAATGCTTCAGTCATGACGTTCCTACGCGATCTTATACATGGACCAAGTGAGCTGGATCCGAGTTTAGACTGCGTCACGTTAAGAAACTTGATTGGACAAGTGTTGACGAAGCATGGGCAAGAAATTACTATGGGTAATCCTGGTTTAAAAAAATCTGCCTTTATTAAAATATCATTTTAGTCAATTAACTCTGGTTGGTTAAAGACTCTGCCGGTTAAACATTAATCGATACAGGTGTGGCCATAGCAACCCACTTGACGCCACTTTTCTCACCATTTTTGCAGGTTTGGTTCAGGCTTGCGCTGGAAAAATTCCTTCGTATATGGTGCCCAGTGTGGGCGAAGTTTTTTGGGAGATGTTAAGATATAATAAAGAGGTTGGTCATCTAAACTAACTTTATTTATGCTCGATAGCTCTATTAGTTCTAAGCTGTTCTCCCTAGAGATCCAGTAAGGATCATCTCTTATTCATCCAGTGTTACTACAGGAGGAAACCTGAACTATACTAACTTTATTAATACTGGATAGCTCTATCGGTTCTAAGCTGTTCTCCCTAGAGGTCCAGTAAGGATCATCTCTTATTGATCCAGTGTTACTACAGGAGGAAACCTAAACTAAACTAACTTTATTTATACTGAATATCTCTATCAGTTCTAAACTGTTCTTCCTAGAGATCCAGTAAGGATCATCTCTTCTTGATCCAGTGTTACTACAGGAGGAAACCTAAACTAAACTATCTTTATTTATACTGCATAGTTCTATCAGTTCTAAACTGTTCTCCCTAGCTAGAGGTCCAGTAAGGATGATCTCTGATTGATCCAGTGTTACTACTGCAGGAGGAAACCTAAACTAAACTAACTTTATTTATACTGGATAGCTCTATCAGTTCTAAACTGTTCTTCCTAGAGGTCCAGTAAGGATCATCTGTTCTTGATCCAGTGTTACTACAGGAAGAAACCTAAACTAAACTGACTTTATTTATACTGTATAGCTCTATCAGTTCTAAACTGTTCTCCCTAGAGGTCCAGTAAGGATCATCTGTTCTTGATCCAGTGTTACTACAGGAAGAAACCTAAACTAAACTGACTTCATTTATATTGGATAGCTCTATCAGTTCTAAACTGTTCTCCCTAGAGGTCCAGTTAGGATCATCTCTGATTGATCCAGTGTTACTACAGGAGGAAACCTAAACTAAACTAACTTTATTTATACTGAATATCTCTATCAGTTCTAAACTGTTCTTCCTAGAGGTCCAGTTAGGATCATCTGTTCTTGATCCAGTGTTACTACAGGAAGAAACTGGAGTATTCGATGAATGTAGCGTTTGTATAGAGTCAAACTGGAAGCCGTCTTCTCACATGTGACTGAGGTGATATCATAATCATGCAGACAACTGCATATTGCAGGAATCAAATCTCAGTCACAGAGATGAAAAGCACATGCAGTAACCACCGAACTAGCAACCAAACTATATGGTAGGTTGATGTTAATTGTGTTCTTCATTCCTCTTCAGCAAGCCAGTAACTGGTTGGTGAAAGCTTTAGAGATGCTACCAACACAGACTGTGAGTGGAACGGCCATAGTTACCAAACAACAGATTATGGAATTTCATCATGGTGTTACAAGGTTAGTGATGATGGTTGTGATGATGGTGTTGGTGATGATGGTGGTGGTGGTGATGATCATGATGGTGGTGATAATGATGATGATGGTGGTGATAATGATGATGATGGTGGTGATAATGATGATGTTGATAATGATGATAATGGTGATGATGATGATTATGGTGGTGATGATGATGGTGATAATGGTGGTGATGGTGGTGATGGTGGTGATGATGGTGATGATGGTGATGATGGTGATGGTGGTGATGATGGTGATGATGGTGATGATGGTGATGATGGTGATGATGGTGATGGTGGTGATGATGATGGTGGTGATGGTGATGGTGGTGATGGTGATGATGATGGTGGTGATGGTGGTGATGGTGATGATGATGGTGATGATGGTTTTGTGGTGCTGGTAATGGTGGTGGTAATTGGTGATGATGGTGTGATAGTGATGGTAAATATAAATAAACATGACTCATTCTGTCCATTTTTGTTTCAGTGCGGATGCTGGCAAAATCGTCTGCAGGGCAGCGCGGGCGTTTTCGAGACTATACGAATAAACTAGACTGCGAGGTGAACTGTGCGTGGAATGGATAAAATCCTCGCGTGGATCGCGCATGTGAACACGAGATGATCTCGAAGTTGAATCCCGAGGCAACCAAGTAAGAGAAACATAATATAAATGAAAATATTTTTATGCCTGTGGCAGAGGCAGCGACTGGCTACACAGACAATGCTGGCAAATTGAAGTGTATATAAGCATCCAGGACTGAAGGATTTTAGATATTTTACAATTTTAGATGATTAGAGCATGTATTGTGTTTTTGTGGAATAAACAGAAAAAACAAGAAATACTCTTAGTAAAATACAAAACATGAGTGAAATGTCTTTTCATCTACGTTTATTGTTTGTTTTCCGCGGTGTTTAAGTAAACATCTTTCCCGCTAAATGATTTAATCTTCGTGCTTGGATATCCATTATTTTTTAATCTTTATTTGCTTAGTCCCCAACGGAATCTGACCGCCATTTTTGAAATACACTTTTTATTTTTTAAACGAAGTAAAGTTTGTGTTCTGTTTAAGAGACGAGCACAAATGCTTTATGAAATATAAAGATATGATTAAACACGGACTAGTATTGTGAGTGTTTTACTGTCGATGCAATAGAAGTGTTGATAAAATATTGCACCAATTCCTTTCCTCAAGTTGATCAATTCATTTGATAGAAAATTGATCAACTTCCTGTTACTTTTAGATGAGCCAATTAGATTTCGTTTCAGAACCGATTGACCAATAGGAAACGCACAGGAAGTAAAAAAAATTTTGAATTCGTATGAATTGATCAATTCGAGGAAATGAATTCATGCAATATTTCATCAACACTTCCATTGCATCGACAGTAAATGACTTTAAAAACCGAGAGTCAAAACTAAAGTAAAGTAAGATGATGTTTTATCAAATATGGAACCGCTGACACGATGGGCGGTGAGTTCCTACGTCTTTTCTTCATCCATTATTAATGAGTTTGAGATGAGAGTTTAAAATGTCCTCCTGTTTCTAACGTATAGCACTTTAATTTTCACGTTTTCCATACAAGAGCAGAATTTGAAAGAAAAAAACACTGAAGCGATTTCCAAACAAGCTTAAATAACGACAAAGCGATTGGCTTGTGTACACTCCCAATAAATCAACCTTTTTGAAAAAATATTAACTGTCCACTTCAATATAGTATTGATCGTATAATTGGCATAAGATGTCATTTCTGTGTTTTCCTTGTCGTTATTGCTCAATACAAGTTCTTGACAAGTTTGTAGATTTGCAAAATGTTCAATTAATTTTTCATTAAGAAACGAATTAACGACCTACACGGCGTATACAAATAGCTTAAAGGACGCTTAACTTTAATCACCGCTAATTACTGTTTATTTGACAATGTATTTGAGAGGTTGCCTGAGTTACTGTAAATTAATGAGAAAATGATGAATAGCTTGACAGAAGCGGTGAATTAATGATATAACAGAAAGGGAAATGCATTATATTGTGTGATAAATTTCTATCGTTGGCTTGTATTTTCCGTTGGAAAACAATTTTATGTTGTGACAATTTCTTCGAAAGATATCGTATTATAAAGTGTTATAACACAACGGCAGGCCAACTGTTTTTTGGTGGAAAAGCCAAGTATAAAAAGGAGTGTATAAACAGTATAATATACAACATTGTCAACGGTTAAACAACAGGCTGTTTCGACAAAGTTATATAGGACGCTGAATCTTCGAAGCTTTTGCTATAAACATTGTATTGGTTCACTATGACAAAAGATTTTTAAAGAACGACGAATTTTGAAAGAAAAATAGCAACTGAATATAACAGTGCAAGTGGTTACGATATATTTTTGTGTCAAGAACTTGTATCTATTTACAACAAGATGGAGTGTTGATGATTTTCAAGGATAAAAACTACATGAACCAGAACTGTTTTGGCCACAATTACACCTATAGTTGTTGATCTAACGGATCTTATTGAAAAGAATTTGTGCATACAGGGTTTGAAGTTTGAAAGATTTGATTGGAATAACGTTCGGACAAATATGAGTAATTTTCAGCTATTTTCAAAGAAAGGGAACGGGAAACGATGTTTAAGTCATGTTGGTACGAGACTACAATCAAACGAGAAAGACAAAATATTTGCAACCGAAGCAAAACGACTTTCAAATGAGACAAAAGATGAAGAGAAAAGCATGAGCAACAAAAGTTTGGATGTCTATTTAGACATTGACTCGAGTCTTAAAGGCTGGACTGAGTACAGTGTGTTTCCTTACAAAAAGCATTTCAACTCAAAAGGAAGTAATATCAGTTCAATATACTGTGAAGTCTTAAGCAATGGCAATTGTCATGAATGTCAAACTACTGAGAGAAAATTGACAAACGTTCAGTCAAGTTTGGCAAGGTTCCCAAATTTGGAGACAGGAGGATATCTTTTATTTCAAAGTTTAAGTGAAAAACAAAAAATTCCCGAACGAACTGCATATTCTGCGCTGAGCTTTGTATCTGCGCCTGCAGCACCAGACAGCGGTTACTCTTCTTCGGAAAGCTCCGGTTCTCTCCGACGTCGTGTCCGAGCAGCATCGGCTGTATTATCGGATTTCAATCGGAAAGCATTCGGGTCTTTTCGGTTGAATTCACAAGCTCGTCCTTCCAGTTCGAAAACTGTTCACTTCGAGAACATTTCACGTACCCACGCGAGAGCTTCAAGTTCTCGCGCGAGTACACGCAAGATTTCGCCAATGTCTCAAGAGGGATGGTCCGAGAAGCAAATCGAAGCCTGGAAACTACTCGCTCCCACTCCCCCGCAGATCGAGGTCTCGCAAATGAATGTGAGCATGTATACTCCCAAGGAACTGCCAGGGATTAAACTTTTTGATGAATCATTGTTTGTGATTTGACATTTGAAGTTTTTGCTAGCTTTTTAACGTTTTTAAATGTACACGAGAATTTAAACTCTATTATTATCGTTATTCAGCTAACAGCCAACTGTGAAATTGTCATATCAACTGGCTAACCAAATACGGATTTTTCACATTCATATTAGCAAAATGACGTCAAAGAGTCAATATGAAAAAAATTTGGACGCGTTTGCGCCATATTACTATGATGACGAGAATCATATTGACTCGCTGACGCCATTGATATGACGCAACGACGGCTGCCGAAGGACTAATAAATTGTTTTTTTCTTAATACAAATAAAATACAAATGTTTGTTTTGATTTTTTTAAATAAATAATAAAACAATTATTGAATTCGGTTTTCGCACAATATAAAAAATTATCAAGCCCTCAGTTTGCCGTTATCAACCTTAGCCTTCGGCTTCGGTTGATAACGGCAAACTTCGGGCTTGATAATTCTTCATATCGTGCTCAACCTCATTCAATAATTGTTAATTATTGAATAGAATGAAATATTAAACGGTAATAAGTTGGTTTCAAATGTCGTTTCATAAGCACTTTAAAAAAGCTTCTCTTAATTTCATCTATTTTTTCCAAACATTATTTTCTCACTCTGATAACTACAGGTTCACCACCATCTGCTTCACGATAGTGCTTTGTGAAACTCACGTAGAATTATAGGACTAAGTTTACAATTATATGACTAATTTTCTTTAATTTCATTCTAGGTTTTCGTACCCCCGCCCCCCCCCTGGAGCCGACCCCCCTGGAGCGGCGGAGAAACAGTCTGCGATCAATCAACACTAATGCCGTACAGGGGGGTCGGCTGAGATCAGGCTGCTATCGCAGACTAAGTTTCCGTAGTGAAACCCAGAAGCAGCGATCTCTCAATAGACACTGGAAAATCTCTCTCCTCCGCAGAGGCTTCAGTTGGCTATGATTACGATTAGTATTGAGATGGAACACGTACGAGCGGAGTCGTGTTCCAAGATCCGCCATGTAAAGTGTAGTGAATTGTTTCTCAATACTAGTCGTAATCATAGCCAACTGAAGCCTCTGCGGAGGAGAGAGCTGTAAAATACTGAAGTGAAATATCACATACTCGAACCGACCTGACCGCGTAGCTCAGTTGGCAGAGCATTGGGCTAGTATTTCAAAGGTCGTTGGTTTGATTCCCACCGTGGCCAGGCATATTTTTCAAGCTTGCCCGGTGTGGATATACATTCAGAATATAACATCACAAGCATCAAAACGAAATACATTCAAATATACAACAAATGTTCACAGTTAATTTTTAACAAATCTAGCTTTCTCGTTTAACAAATTTTGTCCTACTCCTAAAATAGTCCTCCAACATATTACATTATTATTGGCCAACCTAGGATCCTAACCACGCGCGGTGATATATCTACATATGTCGTCGTATACAAAAAGTTAAATGTTCGATTTCATGTCCATATTTTTACAACGTCCATGACGTGTTCCTTGAAACGACTTCGTTTACTTTCCCATTGGAAAAACTCCTGCTGGTCCCGCGTGCTGTATAGGTATGCTCAGTCCTTGTGCAGCTGAAGAAATAGAAAATGTTTTAAAATCTTGGGTATGTTGGTGTCACTGTAGTTAGGGCACGTGTATTTCACACCTGTGGGACCGGGGGTTTAATTCCTGCAATATATGCTGTTGTCTCATTATAATTTCACCTCAGTCTTAGGAAGAACAGTTTAGAACTGATAGAGCTATGCAGTATAAATAAAGTTAGTTTAGGTTTCCTCTTGTAGTAACACTAGATCAATAAGAGATGATTCTTACTGGACCTCTAGTAAGAACAGTTTAGAACTGATAGAGCTATCCAGTATAAATAAATTTTGTTTAGGTTTCCTCCTGTAGTAACACTGGATCAATAAGAGATGATCCTTACTGGACCTCTAGGAAGAACACTGGCAGAACTGATAGAGCTATCCAGCATAAATAAAAGTTAGTTTAGTTTAGGTTTCCCCCCGTAGTAGGCAGACAACTGGCTGACAGCTTTGACAAATCAAAATTAAATTCGCGCGACAGTTTGAAGGTGAAACTTTAATTTTCATTGCTTGCTCCAGAGCTTCAAACTTCAATTTCTGGCTCAGAGGTCTAGGAACGAGATATTACGAGAAGAAGGCTTGGTTGCTTAGCGAAGGCCGGAAGGCGGGAAAATGTTCGGAATGGCGACGATTATTTTTAAAAATTTTTCTCGAAATTTTTATAAATGAATATTTAATTTTGTACTAATAAATGTGCTCATTTGTGCTGAAAGTTTAATACAAAGTGTTGAATAGTGATTATTTTAAAAGGTAAGGCGAATTATGTTGTGAAATAGTGCCTAGATAAGGTATAAAAACCATATTATTAAAACACATTTTGCTTGTTTGCAAATTAATATGCAAATATCATCCAACATGTCGAAAATCTCTTTGTCCTTTGAATCCCATCGTCATCAATCATTCATCTCGTTGCAGACTTAATCCATGCTTCCAGAAATTATGTCACCTTGGTATAGAGCCTCGCTTTTGTGATTGAGACGTGGCCTTTCACTAATATCAGATGCATGAAAACGAGGCTCTATAGCCAAAGTGACATACGTTCTGGTAGGGTGTACTCTGTGGTCCATTTCAAGTATGAAGATGCAAAAGAAAACTAGTATGGTTTAATGTTGAACAACTTACTTAAAGGTTGTCCTGCCGCTGAAATTGGAACAACTTGAGGCATTGCTGGGAGTGCCATAGGTTGATGGAGAAATGGTACATAGGGACTAGTCATTGCCAATGGGGCTGCTGCAAGAGAAGCGGGGGCAATTGCGGGGGCAAAGCCAGCAAGGATGGGAGGATGCATTGCAGGTCCCGGGACTCCGGCCATAAAATGTGGAACTGGTGCGGCCATAAGTGCTTGACGTTTTTGACGATCGTTCTTTTTCGGAATTTTGTTCTTGAAGGTAAAGTGATAGTTTCAAATTAATATTTAGTTCTAATTAGAATTGGCCAGTTCCTGTTAAAGGCAACAGATAGTGCTTAACTTTGGAAATTGGTCGTATTCCAGAAAATATCCATACTACCTCCACAGAGGAAATTGAAAGTTAACCCACCTACCCCCTTCGGATGTCCCTTCGGATATTATCGGAAACAAATTTTTCTTGCCTCTCCCTTTGGGTGGCAGAGATTTCCTCTTTGCGGGGGGTGTGGATCTTTTTTTGGAACAACCCATCATGTTGATTGATTTAATTAGGAGCAAGAAAACTGAACTATATCCCTCAATTCTGTTTCTGACACTCCAAATACAAGACTATTGCATATAATAAATAAATTAACAGTTACATAATCTTACTCTTAAGGTCAAGATGCAATTTGACAATGTGGCACAATTTTTCCTTTGATCCTGGTTTATGTTTTCCAAATATTTAGTTCTAAGTGCAATAACATTTTGAGTTATTTGGTCTACATATTTCTTTTCATTGGCTGTTTTATTAACTTCAAAAACTGAAAAATCATGCTGTGTCGTCGAATCGTGTCTGGTGTGTGTCTGCCTTTATAACTGTTGGTTGACCACCATCTTGCTGCATGGTATGTAGCATGTTGTGCTGTCTTGTATTGTCAGCAAACATCTTACACAAATTTGCTATCTGTGTAAAATGCAGAGCTTTCAGTTCTTCCAGCAGGAAATAATGAGCCTGATTTAGTGCATTGGCGCCACCAGCTCGATAATTGGGGGGGGGCGAATATTCTTATATATTTGTGTTCACAGACCATAAAAACAATTGATTTCAAAAGAAGTTAATAATGCAGAACACGAAGATATGAATATCCCCCCCCCCCCAATTATCGAGCTGATGGTGCCATTTGTTTAGTGCTTTACCCTAAAATATAATTATTGAACATTTAGTTTCTGTAAGCATTGGGCAAAATATTTCACCCTCGGAAATAATTTACAAAACGATTGATGTTTTCTGAGCCTTATGTCAAACACTGCTAAACATACTGATCGAAAGCTTCCTTAAATGATTTTGGACCTTACACCTGTGGGCCGTGGTGGGGTCTGGATTGTTAGACTGTATGATTATATCCAGGACTTATAAGCCCACTGATCTACAGTGCCTTTCAGATGCAGGTTGCCAATAAAACTAATTATACCATCAACTGTGGTTAGACTTACTTTAATATCAAGTGTCGCCATTGCGTGACCAGGGTATCCTAAAGTTGAAAACCCAGGGTGGGTGACGGGGTGTCCACCGAAATGACCATGTCCTCCAAGGGGTCCGGCATGACCTCCCAAGAATCCAGGACCATGTCCAAGTGGCCCAGCACCGTGTCCCAACAGTCCTGCACCATGTCCTAGCATTCCAGCTCCCAACAGTCCTGGTCCATGGCCAGGCAACATTCCTCCAGGACCATGAGCAAGTAGTGCGTCAGGATGGCCAACATGGCCGGCAAGAGGTCCATGAAGTTGTCTCTTTGAAGATGAAACATCAGTTGGAACTTTACCCTAAGCAATTCACAATTTGATTTCTTGTTATATACAATGTGTGTGCATAATGTTCATAATTATATTAATAGCAATGGTTGTCTATGACTAGTGATATAAGAACAGCCAAGTCCTATCCCAACTTGTCATTTGTGTACTTTAACAATGACTCACAAGACCAATATATTCACAGATACTATTTTGCTGACCTCAGAATGACATTTCTTCAAGATTGGTTTAGAAACAAATTTGGCATAGGGTTAGGTTAGGGTAAGGATTAAGCTAGGTTAGGGTTAGAGTTGGTGTTTGGAATAGGGTTAGTGTTAGTAAAACCGTTACTTTGTTACGTTTTGTCACTCTGAGGCCAGCGAAATAATCTCTTCTTATATCACACTCAGTTGGCACTTGTAATGTTTAATACTATGCACACGCCATAAGCACAACAACAACTTAATCACACCCACAGGCTATAAATACATATGATCAAGTTAATATAAACTTATTACGAATAGCTGAGATGCTCAATCATCACAGTACTGGTAGTCACTGATACTGTGCACTAGTAATGTATCAATTATACACTTTTTGACCACTCTTTTTGCAACACGGATATATGAATATTTGCCCCCCCCCCCCCAATTATCATTCTGGCTACGGCACTGCAAGCTGGTCTAAACTTATTGGCCCCCATTCATAAGTAGAAATTCCTTTGAAATCTTGGGTCAATTTCCATGAGGATGAAACTCAACCTAACCCAACAAAATGCACACTAAGTTGTGATTTTAAACTTTACCTTCTTTACGTCGACTGTTGCAATGGCGTGACCTGGGTATCCCATGGTAGAGAATCCAGGATGTGTGACTGGATGACCACCAGGTCCTGGGTAGCCAGGGCCAAGACCATGTCCTCCCAAATGACCTCCCAAATGACCACCCAAATGACCACCCAAGTGACCATGACCTGGGAAACCAATCACCTGACGAGGAACATGGGATCTTCCAAACACATGCTGGGCTCCGGGTCCCCCAGGAGCATCACCGACATGCGATCCTAGTGTCTGGAAGGGATCTAACCCACCCATCCCACCAAACCCAAAGCCTAACCGATAGTTATCCCCACTGGCATAACCGTACCCTAAATGGATGGTCTGTTTCTTGGTTGGGATATCGCCACGTTTATCGCCCTTCTCATCTTTACCGATCTTGGATCTCGCCCAGGGGAATGTTTTCATCCACGGGAAGCGGGGAGGGTAGGTCCCAAAACCAGACCCCGGGTAACCCCATTCTGTACCAGATGGTCCTTGGTAACCACCCCAACCGAGGCCCAACCCACCGCCACAGCCACCAATCCCACATTTCTTTGACGCCTTACCCTTCTCAACCTTAGATTTACTCACTACACCAAAACTGTATGGGCCGAGGCCTGGATATAACCCTACGGCATAACCATTCCACCACGGTCCACGGGCATATGGCCCAAAACCGGCATTAAACCGGTTACGCAGACCTGCAAATGGAGCATGTGCAATAGGGCTATCACAGATATGACGCTTGGAAGCCTTACCCCCTTTGCTGACCTTGGATCTGTAATAGCATCCTGGTAGGCCATAGCCGAGACCTAAGGGTAGGCCTAATCCATATCCAGCAAATGGGTAACTTAAGCCCCATCCAAGTGGCAAACCGTACCCTAGGCCTAGTGGCAAACCATACCCTCTGCCTAGTGGCAAACCATACCCTCCTAGTGCCTCGAAACCAAAATGTTTCTTAGAGGCCTTGTCATCTTTCGAAGCCTTGTCATCTTTGACGTTTGGACAGGCATAGACCAATTCACGTTTCGTCTTTCCACTTTCCTTTGAAATCTTATTACGATAATACCATCCACAGCCCCCATGGCCAAATCCTTCACCACAACCCCCTCCTAGACCACAACCTCCTCCAAATCCCCCACCACAGCCCCCACCGAAACCACCACAGCCTCCACCAAAACCACCACAGCCTCCACCAAAACCACCACAGCCCCCACCAAAACCACCACAACCTCCTCCACCACATCCCCCAAATCCAAATCCTCCATGTCCCAGGCCACCCCAGCCCCAGTGATGGAGCCCATCCCAGAATGCGTGAAGGTCTGCAAAACATCCATGCTTCTTTGCCGCCTTCTTGTTGCACTTGTACACCATATTCCTCTTTGTCTTTCCTTCTTTGGTTATCGTGGATTTCTGAGCCCATCCGCAACCACTGCAATCAACACCCACTCCCCTTCCTGGCCCGAATCCCATTGCAGTCCTAGCCAGAGGTGCGGACCCATAGTCATAGAACCCATGCATCGACATCCCACCATAGGGCCATTCGCCATAACCACCGATCGCAAATGGACTTACAAACCTCTTACTAGCCCCCTCCTCCTTCTTAGGGCAGTCGTAAACAAATTCTCGTTTAGTTTTACCATTCTTATCAACTTTTGATCTGTAAAAGCCCCCACAGCCCCCAAAACCTCCACACCCACCTCCCCCACACCCACCTCCAAATCCACCACACCCACCTCCAAATCCTCCACACCCACCTCCAAATCCACCACACCCACCTCCACCACACCCTCCTCCAAATCCGCCACACCCACCTCCACCACACCCTCCTCCAAATCCGCCGCACCCACCTCCACCACCACCACCACCACACCCTCCAAATCCACAACCAAGACACCCATATCCAAAGTAGGGATAACCTACATCATACCCATGACTCGCTACTCCATGCCCATGGCCAAAACCTCCAAACCCATGTCCCAAACCTCCCCACATCCCGAAACCACAACGCTTCACATTCTTCTTGTTTTTATCACAAGCATAGACCAGGTTGCGCTTTGTCTTACCATCCTTGCCAAGCTTTGATTTGTAAGCCCAGCCACATCCCCCGCACCCCAAGCCTAACCCGTGGTGTCCATCACCATGTAATCCCAACCCTAAACCATGACCTAAACCATGGCCCCACCCTCCTAATCCATGACCCCATCCACCTAATCCATGACCCCACCCTCCTAATCCATGACCCCACCCTGTACCTATACCATACACAGGACTACCCCAGTTAAGGGGGCCACCATACCCACCCCACTGACCAAAACATCTTTTAGCATTGCCCTTATTCTTATCACAGGCATAAACCAACTCTCGTTTAGACTTCCCGTCTTTTCCAACCTTCGACTTATATGCCCATCCACATCCCCCACATCCGAGACCCCCGTGTGCACCGTGGGCAAAGATAGCTTCATGATAGAGCCCTGAGTGACCCAACCCCCCTAATCCAAATCCTAGTCCACCCCCTAGACCTCCCCAACCCCAGCCAGGGTAACCCCAACCGAAACCACCTCCATAACCACCGAAACATCTCTTGGCATTATTCTTGTCTTTGTCGCATGCATACACAAGCTCCTTTTTCGTTTTTCCATTTTTGTCCACTTTAGACTTGTATGCATATCCGCACCCACCACAGCCAAGACCTAACCCGTGACCCAACCCTAACCCGTGACCTAACCCATACCCGTGACCAAACCCATATCCGTGACCCAACCCAATACCATGTCCAAATCCGCCACCATACAAGCCATGGCCCCAACCCCCTAATCCAAGTCCGCCTAGCCCATGTCCACCCCAACCCCAGGGAGAGCCTAACCCGAATCCAGCTAACCCACCATAACATCGTTTCGCATTATTTTTATTTTTGTCGCACGCGTAAACTAATTCAGGTTTCGCCTTGCCGTCTTTGCCGATTTTCGACTTATAGGCATAACCGCACCCACCACATCCAAGACCTAACCCATTCCCATGTAACCCGTCACCAAATAACCCATGGCCCCATCCCCCAAGACCATGACCCCATCCGCCCAGACCGTGTCCCCATCCGCCTAGACCACCCCATCCCCCCAAACCATGACCCCATCCCCCCAGACCGTGTCCCCATCCCCCAAGACCTTGCCCTAACCCGTAACCACCCAATAACCCGAAACATCGCTTCTTATTTTTCTTGTTTTTATCGCATGCATACACTAGTTCTCGTTTCGATTTTCCATCCTTCCCCACCTTGCTTTTATAGGCCCAGCCACACCCACCACACCCTAGACCTAACCCATGCCCATGTGACCCGTCACCAAATAACCCATGGCCCCATCCCCCAACACCATGACCCCATCCGCCCAGACCGTGTCCCCATCCGCCTAGACCACCCCATCCCCCAAAACCATGACCCCATCCCCCAAGACCGTGTCCCCATCCCCCAAGACCGTGTCCTAACCCGGAACCACCCCATAACCCGAAACATCGCTTCTTATTTTTCTTGTTTTTATCGCATGCATACACTAGTTCTCGTTTCGATTTTCCATCCTTCCCCACTTTGCTTTTATAGGCCCAGCCACACCCACCACACCCTAGACCCCCGTGACCCCCAAACGATGCCCAATCAGGGTACCCACCATGACTGAAACCGCCGAAACCATCATGAAGGGAATTGTACCCCCACCCCCCGTAACCATGTGGCCCACCGAAACCACCGAGGAGTCCTACACCCCCAAACCCACCCAAACCACCCCATCCTCCATAACCGGGCATTCCTCCGAAGCACCGTTTCGCCTTCTTTCCATCTTGATCTTTCTTACATACAAACACGAGATCTCGTTTCGTTTTGCCATTTTTATCAATTTTGTTCTTATATGCCCACGTACATCCCCCACATCCCAAATCACCCGCCCAATTCCCCAAACTCAGTGGTGCGTAGGGACCACCACACTGCCCGTGCCAACACGATCCCAAGCCATACCCTAAACCAACACCCAAGAGGCCAGGGTAACCACAGCCATAACCGCCTAACCCACATCCTAACCCTAGACCACCAAAACCAAAGAACCGTTTACTCACATCGGCTCTTTTCAAAGGGGAATTCCTGATCTGCTGAGAAGCCGATGGCCGCCCTGGCATGCCTAAATCCCAACCTTTGAGAGGCGAGCTGAAGGGATAACCCGGAAACACCACACCAAACCCATGACCATAACCAACACCAATAGGGATATACCACTTTTTGGTACTACCTGGGATCTGGTTTCGGGCCCAGAACCCACCCCAGCCTGGCCAGCCGGCACCGGCACCTACCCCAAAGTTGCTAGGCAGCCAGCCAGGGTACTGGCCGGATGAATCGCTCAACGGCATTCCCCATAGAGATCTTTTGTTGGCAGAATCCTTTGATTTTCCATTTTTAGGAACATCATTGCGATAAAACCAACCAGGAACATGCGCACCCCATCCAGAATTCCAGGGGATATACCCATAAGGGAACCCTCCATGAGGGAACCCTCCATGTGGGAATCCGCCATGGTAACCCAACCCCAACCCAGAGTAGGCCCCAAACCCGAAATGGCGTTTATCATTACCTTTACCTTTAGGGACTTTATTCCGGTAGAGAGGGTGACCAAACCCTCCCCAACCCCAAGGGAAACTGTTCACCCAGGGGAAACCTCCCCACGGAATCCATCCCCCGTATCCTGCGTAAAAGATCCCATGTTTAGCGCTCGCCTTCTTAGAGCCTTTGGGCACTTTGGATTTATAGTGAGGGAAATGGTCATGACCCCAGACTGGACCAATACCTGTGGACCCAGCCCCGTACCACGGTCCAAAGAGACCAAGACCAAATGGGAAGCCACGACCATAAGCCGGATCACCAAAACCATGTCCCCAACCAAACCATCTCTTCTTTGTATCCTTGCTGTCCTTTGCCGTACGCTTTTCTGCCATTTCCGAGTTATCTTCGGAAGAGTCCGCCTCATTATCGTGAGCATTCGACTCGTCAACCGCAGCATTTGACTCGTCTTCGTGAGTGTTTGACTCGTCTTCGTGAGCGTTTGACTTGTCTTCATGAACATTCGACTCATCTTCGTGACTTTCCGACCCATCTTCGTGGGTGTTCTTCTCGTTTTCGGAAGTGCTCGAGTCATCTTCGGTAGTACTAGACTCGTCTTTGGAAGTGGTCGAGTCATCTTCGGGAGTACTAGACTCATCTTTGGAAGTGCTCGAGTCATCTTCGGGAGTACTAGACTCGTCTTTGGAAGCGCTGGACTTGTCTTCAGAAGCACTCGAATCCTCTTCGGTGGTGCTCGACTCATCTTCGGAAGAGTCCGTCTCGGAAACGCGAGCCTCCGCCATGGCTTCGTCAGCCTTTTCGTCGTTAATTACTTCTACATTAACTCCATCCTCATCTTCGCGAATCTCTCGTTTTTCTCTGCTCAAAGCAGCGCTCTGTGCCAGTGAGATGAGAGCAAAACACAGGCAGAGAGTAAGTAGGTAACGCCGCATGTCTATGTGGCTTTTTCCTCCAGTATGTGTCTACAGGGAAAGATTAGAGTTAATGGACCTATTCCCTAAAATACAAAATTTTGATCTAGACAAGTCTAGACAAATATTTCATCACAGCTTGAAAGAGCATCACAAAATTAGTAATATTCCGACGTTTCGTTGCCAAATGTTGTAAAATGCGGATAATATAGCTCTGCGAAGGTTGCCGTTTTTCAGTCATTTTGTTTTAGTCATCAGTAAGTTTTGCTTATATATTGCTGTATAAATATGGTGTCAATTTTACAGCATCAATGATGATTCTATTTAAATTGACAATATTTAATTATTATTTTGTGTTTCTCAACCGCCAGATACATTGCCAAAAGGTTGCTAACTGTGCAAACTACAAAATAAAGCTAAACCAAACTAATTTTGGAACGAACGCCAAAATGATTTTAAATTTGAAATTTTTTATCGCAAATATACGCGACATTGAAAAAAATTGCCAACTAGAAAAACATCGTCTTTCCCCAAATTATGAACTGAGGAAAATTCCCAAAGCTAACAGACTTCCAAATACCCAAAGCGAACACACACACACACAGATTTTATAAAACTTTTATTCCAGCTTGTCTTAAAGAATTTTCTTAACAAAATAACTGTTTTAGAAATTTTTAACTTTTTCATCCATTTTGTAAAATAACTTATACTTTAGTCAAATTAATTAATTTGTGAAGTAACACGCAATTCAGTTTTTAAAAACTGCAATATGTTGTCTTAATAAAACCAATCTATCTATCTATCTGTTTATTGCAATACCTTGTGCCAGGTTTTAGCAAGGCATAAGCAGACTATTATCAAGTAGAAAGCTTTTTTTTGTCAAGTACTTTGAAAATACATGTATTGTTTCAGTAAGATTTAAGTAGCTGGTGGTCAATTTCAGAACTATTGACATTTTTAGGTACAAAGTAAACTGCATCTCTTCGTTCTATTTATTTTCCTCCAAATACAAGATTTCTACTTATAATGAAAATAATTAACATCATCGTGTGAGAACGATCTCCTGTACGATAGTGCTAAGGTAATGATGACCACATCAGTAGTTAACCATTTTTGTGTTCATCTCTATAGGGGGATTCTTCAATTGACGTGTAAAATCTTCAGGCGTTAGCCGAAATAAAATTAAGAAGATCTGCTACCTGGCCGCATGAATTGGCCACATGAAAGGTAAATAAATAAAAATAGCTTGGCATTCACGTCTTGATATTAATCCTGGTTCCTGTGAAAGAACAAAGCCCCGACCGAAGCCCATCAACAGACTTTTCCCCTTTTAAGTGAAATTTTGATCTAGACAAGTCTGGACAAAAATTTCATCACAGCTTGAAAGAGCGTCACAAAATTAGTAATATTCCGAAGTTTCATTGTGAAATGTTGTAAAATGCGGATAATATAGTCTTGCGAAGTTTGCCGTTTTTCAGTCATTTGGTATTACAAACGGGAAATTGATAATCAGATGATCAAACTGATGCAAAATGTTAGATTGTAATGCCAAATGACTGAAAAACGGCAAACCTCGCAAGGCTATATTATCCGCATTTTACAACATTTTGCAACGAAACTTTGGAATATTACTAATTTTGTGATGCTCTTTCAAGCTGTGATGAAAGTTTTGTCTAAACTTGTTTAGATCAAAATTTCACTCATAAGGGGAAAGGTCTATTCTGATCAAAATATGAACCTGTTCAAAGTTAATGAGAGTTGATGAAAGTTGTTGATCAAACGTGCGCGCGAGTTGAAACTCTCATCCTATTTTGACCAGGACTTCAACTTCAAAGTAAAAACAGTGTTTAGTTGCTGGTTACTTTCAGAAAATAATTATAGTTTACCCCAATTTGTTTCCAACAATTATCAGGTATTTAATTAAAAAATGTATAATTACTATACTTCTTAACATTAATTGCATTCAATTAGTACTTATCTTGTTGATAAGTCATAGTTCTTAATTACAAATCAGAACGTCTCTACATTATAAATTGCGGATTCTGTCAATCATGTCTTGACTCAAAGTCAAACGTTACTCTGTACGATTGATTAGATTTTTACATGAACTTTGTTAGTATCCTTCATATGTGATAACTCCCATCTAGAGATCCTTCATATGTAATAACTCTCATTTGAGGACGTTCGTGCCGAGAGGCTGAAATCGTCTGGCGTTAGACAGCAAAGCCCCGTACCGACGATCTTGTTGACAAGTTTTGTTGCTCGTGTGCACCGAATGTTGTTAAACATTTATCTCATGTCAAGCCCGCCTTGCCAAAACCATAGAACAGGGTTCGTACAAAACTTGAAAGTCCTTGAATGTCCTTGAATTTGAAAACAAAAATTCAAGGCCTTGAATGCCTTTGAATTTGTAAAGAAGTACTTGAATGTCCTTGAATTCTTCTTGCTTTAGTTTTTGGATATTTTCTGAAATTGTTTGACATTCAAGACGGACATTTTGTTGAACTGATTGTGCATGTTCATATCCGACCTCATTATAAAGTTACGTTTTGAACAATTCAACGTCAGATTTTGCTGATTTCTAACGCCTTCAGTATTTAGTCCTTGAATTTGTTGATACATGGCCTTGAAAAGTCCTTGAATTTGACTCTTCCTGACATGTACGAACCCTGATATTAGAAGTATATTATACACTTGTCAAGTTGTCTTATACAATAGTCCTGTACACTTGTCAAGTTCATTTCCATCGTACGCACGAACAAATTTTCCTTGTCCAAAAACTGGCACGACTACAGCTTTGGAACAAGACTCTTTGTCAAGGAATAATTGTCAATTTTATGTCGTACACACGAGCAAATAAAACTTGTCAAGGAAGGAGTTACATAAGTCACCAAAATCAAAAAGATCAACCACTTCGTATTTTAGTTAAATTACTATTTCTGCAGACTTATTTTTAAAGTATAATTTATATAATATTGTTGAAAATTTGTTTCAAATAAATACCAGCAAAGATTAACATGTCTAAACAATTTCTCAATTTTGTATAACTAAAAATAAAAAAGTTTATACCCATAAATGATGTCTATAAATGACTTAGTTTCTTACCTCTCTGGAGAAAACGCCTGATATTTCGATGTTTTACAAAATCTTTCTAAAGTTTTCCTAAACTGTGTTGTCGTTGTTCAACGTTTAATAATTGCCACCAGTTTTACTCAAACTGACCACCACCGGTTGAATTGTCTCGCTACACTAACTTTCCCTCCTTGTTCGTAAACAAATCCACAGGTGTTTATAACTGCGGATCTATATATGTATTATAATTTCACACTACTAGCAATGTACTTTTTAACATACTTTTTAAAATTATTTGTAAAGTTAATTTGCGAAGATATATTTTCAATTGCGCATTTTTAATAATATTGAGCGCAATTTAGTAGTTGATCGGTTTATCCCTCCCATAGATTCATATATTAACGCGTCTGGTGCTATTTATAGCTGTATATTAGTATAGCTTAAAAATTGAGCATCACATATTCACCGCATGTTAGCTTCTCGTCTATCCTCCCTCCTCCAAGTTCCACCCATATAACCCCCCTACACACACACACGATTCGGCAGCAGTCTAATGCAGACATGAGCACTAAGAAAGATTTAGAACTGGTAGTGCTGTCCACTTTATTTTGGGGCGTGGGGGGAGTATATATAGGCATGTTTAATTCTTTACTGCATGTGTGCTTTTTCTCCTGTGATTGGAGTTAAATACTTGCGGTCCACAGTTGTTTAATAGACAAATTTTACTGCCTTGTTTACATCGTTGCTATACCAAATTAAGGCCCGTTTACATTTGTAATTTCTGCTGCGATTTTAAGTGCGATTTTCTTCTGATGTATGTGAACGAGTGGATAAGTTATGAATGTTCAGATAAGGGCACCATGTACTCAGAACATTGGTGACTCATCCACTCGTTCACATGCATCAGAAGGAGAAAGGGCCTTAAAACTCACATGCTTAGTTGAAGGTCTAGATGGGGGGGGGGGTCTGAAAATCAGTTAACGGTAAAAATTTTGGTATTTTAACGGTAACAACAAGTAACATTTTGGTATTTTAACGGTAAATCTTTGAAAAGTGTTCTGAAACACAAAGCCTTCATGTCTTGTATATAGAAAAATAATCAGTTTTAGTTAAAATAAACTTTTCTTCTTCTTAATACTTAGTTATGTTATAATCATTACTTGTAAATATTCTGTTCGACTCTTAAAAATTATTCTTATGAACATTGTAAAACTAGGGACCTCTTACCAAAAAGCCTTAAAGGGTTTCATTAAGGTCCCTAGCCCTTCACGTTGTTATTATAGCACTGTAATTATGTAAACTTTTTATTGGGCAAAATGAATAATAATAATAATAAACGATAAACAGTACTTTTTCCCTCACGATTCACGGTAAATTTTTAGTGTTTTCACGACTGACGGTGACCGAAATTGAGTGAATCACGACTCACGATATACCCCATCAACACCCTCCTAGTTGTATGTGAAGAGTTATTCATTTTAGTAGATCTATAAAGCTTGGTTACCTTTGTACTATTCTGTGTTTCTGTAAACTAGAACGATAGTAACTATAGGCATGTGAGTTATTCAAAATTGTCAATTGGGTATGAACAAACGTTAGCTAAAGTTGTCTGGACTAAACAGGACCATTTGGTCCCAGAACATTTTTGGATGAAGAGAGGAAAATTGGAGGAAGGAAAGAATGAATGAACACTGGACCTCTAAGGAGAACAGTTTAGAAGTGATAGAGCTATCCAGAATAAATAAAGTTAGTTTAGAGATGAGATGATTCTTACTGCACCTCTATAGGGTAAACAGTTTAGAAGTGATAGAGCTATCTAGTATAAATAAAGTTAGTTTAGAGATGAGATGATCCTAACTGGACCTCTATAAGGAGAACAGTTTAGAAGTGATAGAGCTATCCAGCATCAATAAAGTTAGTTTAGTTTAGGTTTCCTCCTTTAGTAACACTGGATCAATAAGAGATGATTCTTACTGGACCTCTAGGAAGAACAGTTTAGAACTGATAGAGCTATCCAGTATAAATAAAGTTAGTTTAGAGATGAGATGATCCTTAATGGTGGTAGAGCTATCAATCATTAATAATTTTTATCGACTTTCAGGTTGTACAGGTCAAGGCATCTGAAAGAACACGGAAGACTGGCTGAATTATTGTAAGTGTCGTTATTTCAATTTACTTATATGTTGAATCCGAGCATTTCCGACCATACAACTGTTAGTGTACGCGATGTTTGAACGATGATATTTTAACCTATTATCAACGCGGCTTATTTAACTAAATCTTGCCAGCGCATGCGTCGAAGTGTAGAATTTGACCACATCTGTTCGCATGAGAATCGTACGGAACTATATTTCAACCGAGAAAATGAAAGTTCTCTGATAAGTTTCGGAAGCATTGCGCGACATCTGCTGTAAACCTGTACAAATATGGCGGAATGCAGAGTTTCTGTTTCGTTCTTTTCACTACCTTCTCGTACGAGGAATAATAATAATAATGATAAATAGTTTAATAAAACGCTTTGCAGTTACAAAACTGAATTACACGCTTAAACTAGAGATGACAATGAGCTTTTAGAAATATTACAAATATAAAATTATCTATTAACAAGATTAAATAAAAAAGTTTAAAAAAAGAAAAACCTACAATGACTAAGAAACATCAATGATATTTGCATGTAATAAACTGAGAGAAACGTTCTGTACGTGCCCTTACTCTATTTAGTCCCTCGTGTCTTAAATTATATAGTCGTTGCTCTTGAAACTGCCGTGGTTTGTGTTTGAACTATCTGGAAAAGTTTCAACGATGAACTTACTTCGACTTGTTGAGCAATGACTCTCTCAAGCCGAAACCGTCGCCGAAAGCTCTTTCAGGCGACGGTTCTTTTTCAACTCTCATGGCAAAGTACGTTCGCTCGAAAAGTATTTTTAATCATTCTTCAGGTACAAACAAACATAAACCACGACAGCCTATATTAGAACTGCTTATTATCTGATTCGCTTCAACACCAAAAAGAGATAAAAGTATGAAGATTTAAAGCGCTTGCTACGTATATTCATTCCTTTCCGAAAACGCAAAAGGCTCAAGAGAGACGAGATTTTCTTCCTTGCGCTCAGCACGAACAAACATGGTTGTCAACTCCGGTAATTGTTCTTATAGCGCAGTTCAATGAATACAGTTATAACTCACTACATCCACCAATGAAAAACATTGATTGCTCATTTAAAACAGGTAGAAGGCGCTCAAAATCTAACGGTCGCATTAACTTTACTTGTCCATAACAACATTCCACCGTTGTGACATCATTTCGGAATCGAAGCGTGGAAAAAGATCGCGATAGCAATATCGCGATTAATTGTTGAAATTGCCTTTAATTTTCGCTTAAACTACCGAGGGATTTTTGATTGACTTTATGGTTTCTTCGATGAACACTTAAATTTTATAATGGATCGGCGTTTTGCGCCAAATTTTTGTTTTTTATTGCTGTGGGTTGCCTTAGCGAATGGCGCCCTGACACAGACTGGTGGCCAACCAAGTCAATCACGGGAGCCATTAGTAAAGTCCGCGGAGAGTATAAAAAGTGGGAACAGAGTTAAAAGATCATCAAATGATGAAGATAAGCAGAGATTAAACGCAGGTTAGTTTTGTTCATTGGTTTGTTATCTAGTTTATGTCTGTTTCATAGTTTTATATATGAAGTATTTTTACATGCATGAGTTAGTACAATATTATAATAACTATAGTACAAAATTTAATATGGGCACATATATAAAATTTGATATGGGCACACATAAGATGTTCATTTTGAACTATTTATCAACATGGTTTTGCCATTATCAAACAAAACCCTATATCTTTGCATATTTCATGTATATAACGTCTAGAATAGATGAAGATTTTATCATTATATTATTATAATTATATTAAAGATTTAATTAAGAAAGTAATTTTGAATTGTATATATATTAATATCTTCTTGGCTAAGAACCCTTAAATAGTCTAGTAAACTTCTACAGCGTTCTATATAGACTTGGAACATAAGCCAATGAAAGGTTTTATAACCTTTAAAGCGTTATCCTTGCATTAGAACTGACCACTTTATAGGACCATTTATACGAGCGAAAATAAGCCGCGGACTAAATAAATCGCGAACGACTCGTATAAACAGTCAATTTGAAATAAGCCGTGGCTTATTTAGGTCCAGCTTTCAACGCCGCTTATTGCAAATTGACTGTTTATACGAGTCGTTCGTGACTTGTTTAAGCCGTGTCTTATTTTCGCTCGTATAAATGGCCCTACTGTTCTTATGTAGTTACATTTCTTATTATATTCATGTGATGAATAGACCTTTCCCCTTTTAAGTGAAATTTTGATCTAGACAAGTCTGGACAAAAATTTCATCACAGTTTGAAAGAGCATCACAAAATTAGTAATATTCCGAAGTTTCGTTGCGAAATGTTGTAAAATGCGGATAATATAGCCTTGCGAAGTTTGCCGTTTTTCAGTCATTTTGCATTACAAACGGGAAAATGATAATCAGTTTGATCATCTGATTATCGTTTGTAATGCAAAATGACTGAAAAACAGCAAATTTCGCAAGGCTATACATTTCGCAACGAAACTTCAGAATATTACTAATTTTGTGATGCTCTTTCAAACTGTGATGAAATTTTTGTCCAGACTTGTATTTCACTTAAAAGGGGAAAGGTCTATTGATTGATTCATTCATTCATTTCTTTTTCATGTAGGTGAAGGCGAACTTTTAAAGTTATTTTCTCGTGGGAAGGTCACGCAAAAACGTGACATAATAAACACTAACATTGACTCTGAGCGTGATGGCATACCCGGGAATTTGTACCCGGAAACTGCGATCCATAACTTGGAACAAACCTCAGATAAGGTGGAGTCTGATATGCTGTACCGCAAGTCTGAAATCCCCACGCGTGAGGGAGACGGTACACACGTGCATGGCACGCGGGCCGTGGGTGATAAAGCTGTGTATAATATAGGTCAAGATGTCTCTCTTGAGATTCCCTTAGATCAACCACGCGTTGAAGAGCTCACAAAACGAGATATCATTCCAAAGAAAGTGGCATCCAGGTTGATAGAAGATGGTAAAAAAGGATCAAGATTGGTAAATGATGATAAAGTAGGATCTACCAATGAGGATCAAGGCTTGTTAAATAATGATAAAGTAGGATCCAATGATGCCAAAGTGGGAAGCACAACCGGTACAGTAAAGAGCAGCTCAACACGACGTGACGAGGTTCCGCTCTCTGGCCCAAATTTTTTGCGAAATTCGTTGGACGATGCCTCAGATGAAGATTTCCAAATCAGAGACAAATCTGCAGATCTTGAGATCCATGCTGATTCTTCAGGGGTACGGGTGAAGGCGAAACCCGCCTCCCTCCAGGTCGTTTCTAACCCACATGGCGAGGTGAAAACCCTCCCAGGTGAGACGCACTCTGAGGGGGTTATTGCTGAACGCAGAACTTTCACTCCTGTACTCCCTTCCGAGAAACGCACCAACCATCATCATTTCCATGGGCTACCACCCCGACCTTTCACCCACCTACCCTTTTTAAGACACCACCACCATTTCCACCATCATCACAGGTTGCCGTGGTTACGACATCGTCAGCATATCAACTATCCGGATGTGTTTGAAAGAATGCGTTTTAATTCAATGCCTGAAGGACCTGTTCCCTTCGGAGGTATGGGCCTTCCTGTCTCTGTTGCACCTCCTATGACATCCATGATGAACTCTCCCCCTCCTATGATGTCTGAAGGACCAGGAATGCCCCTGATGGGTGGGGCAGGTATGGGTGGTGGAGGTATGGGTGGCCCACTTATACCGCAACTGCTCCAACGTTCCCCAACCATGGAAACCAATCCCGCAAATCGATTCGGTGTACCTGAAAACCCGATGGAAGAGATGTCTGCTGGGGGAATGTCCCCTATGGGAAGAATGAACTCTATGGGAGATATGTCCCCTATGGGAAGAATGGGTCCGATGGAAGATATGTCACCTATGGGAAGAATGGGTCCGATGGAAGATGGGTCACCTATGGGAAGAATGGGTTCTATGGGAGATATGTCCCCTATGGGAGGAATGAGCCCGATGGCAGATATGTCTCCTGTGAGTCGAATGAATGCTATGGGGGATATGCCCCTTATGGGAAGAATGGGCCCTATTGGGGGAATGCCACCTATGGGTAGAATGGGACAAATGGAATCAATGCGTCCAATGTCCCCCAGTGCTCCGTTTGGTCAAAGCGAGATGCGTCGTAAGAACGCCTTGGAATTTTGGGGCATGCCAAACCAAGATCAACTCAGAGCCTTGGCTCGTGGCGAGAATGTTCGGAAAGTCCTGGGAAGTAATAGATACGGTGAGACTCTTGGTGGCATAACACCCGGGGGTATGAATCCCCTTGGAGGTATGAGCCCCGGTATGGGCGGCGGTAGTTTCAACGCGAACGGTATGGGAGACAATATGATGGGACCGATAAGTGGTACTCGCAGCGCCATGTTTCGTGGTATTTCTGGTGGTATGTCTGGTGGCATGTCTGGTGGCATGTCTCGTGGCATGTCTGGTGGCATGTCTGGTGGGATGGGTATGAGGAGAAATATGCTGTACAAAAAGGACGGCATTAATAAAACTAACGCTTATAAGAAATCTATGAAGCTCAAGAAGTCGGGTGATCACAAAACTGAGCCTGCGGTAACAGGCGGTCAAGCAGTCAGCGGTAGCACAAGAAGCGGGCACGAGAAATTTGAGGAGGGAATCTTGAAGAAGGCGCAAAGTTTGGTTGCAGGAGAGAAACATATAGCCAAGAATGAGGAGTCTGAGTTACATCGTGAACATCGAATTAGAAAATCTTCGAAATTGCCGCATGACGAGGAGAAACGGTAAGGGAGTGTTCGTTATTTATGATATGGGGGGGGGGGGCATTTCACACCTCCCTCTCAATATCAACATGACCCCCTCTTGCAACAGCAAACCTACAAAATGTTTCATACTCATTCGAACTAGTTGCTCTTAAGTTTATATTGCTAAGGCGAGACTTTTTTTATTCATTGGTTTACGGATCCGCCGACCGTAAATATTCAGAAAGTGAAAAATAAAAAAAATAAATTTGGATGTCAAAAATTTTACAATTTTAGTTAATTTTAATTAATTTGGAATTCTGACATGAAGTACACTTCAAGTGAACTTTGACTCTAGGTACTGCTGGCTCATGTTATCGTTGTGACAATCAATATGTAGATTAGCCACGTTTTTTGCCTTTTTTTGAAATTGACGTTAAAAAATTTTATAAAGGTTATTAATTTCGGTTCTCATTTATACTCAGTTCGTTTTTTTTAAAAAAATTTTCCGACCTACCGACCTCTTATTCAAAGTCAAATCCGTAAGCCAATAAATAAAAAAAGTCTCGCCTAACTAATAATTCGACGAATAATTCGTCTGACACTCAGGCTACTAACTAGTTCGTTTGGATGGTTTGTTTGTATTGCTAACAACATCTGACTTTTCTTCCATAGATCACTTGATAAAAAACATTCGAAGAAAACCTCCATAAAACATCAAAAATCCAAGAACGTAAAGGGTTCCAAAAAAGACATCGCCGTTCAACGTCCCCCCATAATTTACCATCCACCACCGGAGGTTTTCCACCGACCGGATATTGTTCTTCACCGTCCTCCGGTACTCTTTCACAGAGCTCCAATAGTCTATCACCAGGCGCCTGTGGTCGTACACAGGCCCGCTGTCGTATATAGACAATCCCCAATCATATTTCATCAACCTTCTCCCGTGGTTAGCCAACCTTATTACAGAGCTTGGGATAATTTCCAGATGAGTCCAGCCTACGCCCATGCTGGCTCTCATGTGTCTCAGGCGTATAACTATTTAGGAGTGCCGCCTGCGGTTAATGGCTACAGGAAGGGGGTGGTACCCCACCAGCCAAAGGAGGAGGGGAAGAAGGGGAAAGTTGAAGGAAAAAAGGAAAGCAAGAGAGCGGAAATTCCTGAGCACAAAGAAAAGAAGAAGAGCAGTGTTGATAAAAATGAGAAGGTAGCAATTTGGTTTTTTTGTCGCTTTGTGTTAATTAAGACGATATTATGAAAATAACTAGAGTGGTAACATTTGTGGAAAAAACCCCGATACCAACCAACAAGTATAAGACAAAACAAAACAACTAATGATAGCCATAGATTGCATAACTTACTAACTCCTCGTAATTTGAACCATTTTAATCTAAGAACAAAACATAAATTTAATGTTAACTTCCAGACAGAACGACATAGGAAAACCTTTATTGTACACAATTCATTAAAATTTTAAGATATAATCAAACTTAAAGTACTTATTAGTCTAGTACACCATGTAATAGCGATTGAGGCTTATTTTTGTAATAGTTAACACAATTCAAATTCAGCCCTTGGGCTGCAAAGTTAATTTTAATAAAACTATCTATCTATCTATCAAAACACGATCCGAAGATTAGGAACTTGAAACTCAGGATATGAATCAAAACAAGACGCGAATCAACCTCGTTCCCAGGCTCTTTGAGCAAAGAGCCTGGGAACGAGGTTGGACGCGAATGAGTTTGAGTAACATTTGTATGTACATTTCTTTTAGTATTGTTTATATAAATTTGCTCATAAATTGGAGTAATTTTACTCAAAAGTTTGGCTCACTGTGGGCATAGATTAATTAATAATTATTCGCCGAAGGCAAACTGATTATCGGTGAATAAAAACCGAGACGAAGTCGAGGTTTTTATTCACGATAATCACCGAGTCTGAGGTGAATAATTGTTTTAGTATAATTTCATTGGTGATTATTTCGAAAAAAATAAAAATTTCGTCATTTAATTGACAAAATGGCTTCGGCCGCCATTTCGAAAATCGCTTAGGTGATTATTGCGTTATAATCACCTCAACGGCAACCAATCAGCGTGGAGAATTTTCAATAATCACCTATGTAATTATACTAAGTATGTATATTTTTAATCTGTGCTGTGCGTGCATTATCTTACTCGAGCTTTTTAGTCAAAATACGACTCAAGTGATTTCGATAATCTACTGTATTTAATTTGATTACCAAAATTCATTAAATCATTTTCACAAATTTTTTGAAGGTGGCGCAGAAGAAGAAGAAGGACGTTGTAGTAAATCGTCCACCAATAATATATCACCCACCTCCCGAGGTCTATCATCGCCCCGAGATCGTGGTTCACCGCGCCCCCTTGCTCATCAGACGTCCACCAATCATCTATCACCAACCAGCGGTCATCGTACACAGACCACCCGTGGTCTACCACCAACCTCCCTTGGTCTTCCATCAACCAGCACCAACGGTGAACCAACCCGTCCTCTACTCCCATGATAACTTTGTCGTCCACCCTTCATTCTTTGCCACCCACCATGGCTCCGTTGTCAGCGATGCTGGTCAACTTCTTGGTGTTCCTAATACGGTTTCCGTACCCGATACCGGCGGTTTTCCCTACCAGCCAGTAGGTGCTAACCCAGGGTTAGGGTTAGGCCCTGGAGGTTTGGGTATGCCCGGCGGTATGCCCGGTGGTATGGGTATGCCCGGTGGTATGGGTATGCCCGGTGGTATGGGTATGCCCGGTGGTATGGGTATGCCCGGTGGTATGGGTGTGCCCCCCTCGGCTCCAATGGGGAGACGAAAGCGATCCTTACGCCACAAAAAGAAAGCAAAGCATGAAAACGCCAAACGCAAGAATATGGTCATGGTGAAGCGTCCCCCCATTGTCTATCACCCACCTCCCGAGGTCTACCACCGCCCCGATATCGTGGTACACCGCGCTCCCCTAGTTATTCATCGCAGCCCAATAATCTACCACCAAGCGTCTGTTGTTGTACATAGGCCAGCGGTAGTCTATCACCAACCCCCCGTCATGTTTCATCAGCCGATGCCCATGGTCTCGCAACCCGCGTTCACATCACACGATGTATACACCCCACACAGCACTTTGACCCTTGTCGGAAGTTCCCCACCCACCCCCATACACTCCAGTGTTGCATTAGTCGCCGTCAAACCCGTCCAAAAATCGTACATCAAGAAAAACAAGAAATCAAATTCAGAGAAAAAATCACATTCCAAGAGACTTTCTAAGAAGGATGGAATGAATACGGATTCACAGAAACTTTCTGAGAAAAAGGGTATAAAAAAGAATCACAAATCAGGGGGTCAGGAAGATGGATCGAAAAAGGATCACATCTCGAGAGCAAAGGAAGGCAAAGCAGTTAAAAAGAATGCAGTTTTGGTAAAAAGACCTCCGATAATTTACCATCCCCCACCCGAAGTCTATCATCGTCCAGACATCGTGGTACATCGGGCACCTCTCGTAATCCATCGTAGTCCAATTATCTATCATCAAGCGCCCGTTGTCGTACACAGGCCAGCAGTAGTATATCATCAACCCCCTGTCCTATTCCATCAACCTCCTCCAGTTGTCAATCAACCTATCCTGGCTTCACATGACGTGTATCATGAAACATCTGAACTAACGCACAGGTACGTTGCTCTCTAGTTTTTGAATCAAAGTTAAACATTGTTTTTATTAATTATTTTCATTCTTCTTGTAGCGGTAGCAGTTTGACCCCACATGGTACCTATCTTGGAGTGCCCAGCGAATTAATGACACAAGCCTTTGGTAAATCAAAAGTTCCACGAAAGAAAGGACACGACCAAAAACCCCGTAGAGGTATCACAAAAGAAGAGGAAGCCAAACAAGGCTCCAAGAAAAACATCATAGCTAACGAAGATAAAACCGAAAAGGCTTCCAAGAAAAACGCAGTTCTAGTAAAGCGTCCACCAATAATCTATCATCCCCCACCCGAAGTTTACCATCGACCTGACATCGTAGTACATCGTGCTCCGATCGTAATCCATCGTGCACCCCTCGTGTACCATCAAGCTCCTGTCATTGTGCATAGGCCCGCAGTGGTATATCATCAACCAGCGGTCATCTTCCATCAGCCCCCACCGATGGTCCATCAACCTATGTTCACAGCACATGATACTTTTACACCCCACGACACTCTCGTACTCGGGAAATCAACTACACAAAAGGTGGGGGACTTTGAAGGCCCACCGCCTGAAACTTTGGCGGCTACCAGGAAAGGAGAAGTACCTAAAAATGTAAAAGGTAATGATGATAATATTAATCATATACTCTGTACAAAGGCACATTTATACAACGTACTTTAAGTTCCCTGTCCCGATATTTTTACTTGAAATCTCTATTATTAAAACTTCTAAATAACAGACATTTTCTGAGAGACCATTCTGATTATAGACTGGATATGTTTATATTTAAGATGATGACGGAATTAGACTGAGTTCCGAAATATAACCCACTTTGTGTCGTATATTTCTTACTGAGTTTTCTTTAACATTTTATTACTAGGCACTAGTCGAAATACCATTCCAAAGGAATCAAAAGATGAGGAGAACCAACCCCACCTACACACATCAAAAGACAAGGGGGGACATCCCCACCAACGATCAATGGAAAGCGAGGAGAAGAAGCCTAAAGGGGAGCACCCTCACCGACGCTCACACCTACGTAAACTAATCCTCTCCTTGCAAAAGGACGAAAATCATGAGAAGAAAGGATTACAGGTGGCAGGAGGTGCTCCTTTGGTTCTGCAAAGACCACCACTTATTCTTTCACGTCCTGCAGTAATGGCCCCTGCTTTCGGTAGCCCTTTGGTTAACTCGTTGGTAGCCCCTGCAGCTCATCCCATTGTACAGAGAGTACTTCAACCAGTGCCAGTTTATCAACCTGTTATCCGACAAGTTCCAGTACCAGTGATTCGTCCTGTACCGATACCTGTGGTGTACCATCACCATCACTGGCCTGTGCATTTTCACCACCATCATATACAGCCAGTAATGGTCCCACCACAACACTATACGACCTATTCTTACCATCCTAATAATCCTTACACGTTTGGTAAATCAGATGTACCTGAAGGTTCTGATGAATCTGATGTACCAGAAGGTTCTGAACAGAAAGACACCATCCATGTTCATGATTTTGGAGTACCAGCACATGGTCATGTTGGACGTGTGAATGGTAACAGCCATGTGGTTACTCATCATGGTTATGTCACCCGTCATGCAAACTGTCCAAGTCACTGTGGTACATGCCAACCACCAAACTGTCCTTCCGACTGTAAACCTCACTGTATTGCAATCATTCACCATCAGCACCATCGGCCTCACCATATCTTTGTAAACCACCAGCACCATCACAATATAGCTCAGACCCATCTCCATAACCATCACTGGCCAGTGCATCACCATGATGTTTACCATAACCACCCATACTTTCCTCATCGTCATATTGGTCACCCAGTTCACTCCTACCCACCGTACCATCACCTTGGACGCAGGGATTCTGACAGTGGAACTAGCCATGATGGTGACCAGAAGACAACTGTACCTCATTACAAAGTGTACCAGCATGTCAAACACTGGCATCCACCATGCATTCACAATAGTCAAACTTGTCACCATCATCACCATCCCATGACGATCTATCATGATCACCATCACCCCACAAGTGCAATGCATCATCATCACTACACTCCCTACCCAGTATACCACCATCACGAGCATATAAAACCAGTAATCTACCATCATGTTAAACCATACCCTATTCACCATCATCATGATCACCATATCCATGATACCTGGCATCATGACCACCATCCTGTGCTACCACAAACACGTTACCCGGTACCACTAACATTCCCTACTCCGTTGGGATTACCAGTACCTATGGCACCACCACCAGTACCAATTCCAGTAATCCCCACATATCACCAGCATGGACCTGTTCCTGTGATGTTACCATGGACCCCACAACCACCATGGACCCGACCTAACCACAATATTTTGGGAAGGTCACGTGTACCACATCATGTACCTCAGAAGGAGACCAAAAAATCCGAAACGGCCAAACCAGACAAGAAAACCAAAAAATCCGAAACATCCAAATCCAAAAACAAGAAAAAAGACGTGGTGGTGAACCGCCCTCCGATCATCTATCACCCTCCTCCAGAAGTGTACCATAGACCAGAGATTGTCGTACACCGCGCCCCAGTTCTTATACACCGTCCACCAATCATCTATCACCAGCCTGCGGTTATCGTTCACAGACCTCCCGTTGTGTACCACCAAAGTCCTATAGTATTTCACCAGCCAGCACCAACTGTTAACCAACCGGTGCTTTACTCCCACGATAACTTTGTCGTCCATCCTTCCATGATTGCCAGCCATGCTGGCACCATGGTTGAAAGTGCTGGGCACTTTTTGGGGGTGCCTAATGGACCTATCACCAATTTCCCAGGTCCATTACCATCTTTTGGAGGCCCTCAAGGATTTGGGATGGAACCTTATGCAACGCCATTTGGTAGAAAACGTAGAAGTACGAAAGAGAATTCTCTGAAAGGGAAGGAAGGCTCTGAGAACGAAAATGAGAGTTCTCAGAAGAGAGACGAGAATTCTCAGAAAGAGGATGAGAATTCTGGGAAAAGCCATAATTCCAAGAAAGCAGATAGAAAGAATTCTATCGTCGTACACAGACCTCCAGTAATTTACCATCCCCCTCCAGAAATCTACCACAGACCCAGGGTGGTGGTACATCGTCCGGACGTCCTGATACACCGCCCACCAATCGTCTATCACCAAAGCCCTGTGGTTCTACACAGACCTCCTGTCGTATATCACCAAGCTCCTCTCATTTTTCACCAACCACCACCAATGATTCGCCAACCAGTATACCATTCTCATGATGATTATGCACCACATCCAGTCTTTACTCATTATAATTCAGATATCCACCATGTTGGTGCTTACCAAGGCATACCGCCCTATGGTGAGGGGTACCATGGTTTTGGTGGCTTCCACGGTGGGTTCCATGGTGGCTTCGGTGGTTATCCAGGGTTACACGGGGGTATTGGGGACTTTCATGGAGGATTTGGAGGATCTCATGGAGGATTTGGAGGATTCCATGGGGGATTTGGAGGATTTCATGGGGGATTCGGTCGCTCAAAGATTGAAAAACCAAATCGCAAGAAAACCAAAGAACATAAAAAGAAAGCCAAAGCACATAAAAAATCTTCTGCAAAAAGTGAAAAAGCACATCGAAAGCATTCAGTGATGGTACATAGACCTCCAGTAATCTTTCACCCAGCACCAGAAATCTACCATAGACCAGCCTACGTGATACACCAGCCTGATATAGTTATACACAGACCAGCAACAGTTTACCATCAATCACCAGTCGTGGTACACCATCCACCAATAGTGTACCATCAACATCCAGTCGTGTATCACCAACCTCCTCCAGTTTTTGTTCAACCTACCTACCACCATCACCAGTTCTTCCAAGAGTGTGGTGGTCACGGCTGTTATGGCGGTGGTCGTCATCTCTATGGTGGATTCGGCGGTCACGGTGGCTGTTCTGGCCATGGTTGTTCCAGTGGTGCTGGTATGTTTGGTGGATACGGCGGTCATGGTGGCTGTTTTGGTCGTTGTGGTGGCTTTGGTGGTTTCGGTGGTGGCTGTTGTGGTGGACTTGGTGGTGGATTCCATGGTGGTTATCCATTCCTGTATGGTAAATCCAGTGTACCTAAAGAGAACCATCCTAAGAAGCGTTCCAAACCATCCTCGGAACACAAGACTACTAGTGACGACTCCGACGAATCAAAGAAACATCACAAGCATGATGAGCCTGAGCTCAAAACTACAAGCGAGAAAGCATCCAAGAGACATCACAAGACAGCGAAGGAGACTAAAGGGTCGAAAAAGAACGATATTATTATACACCGTCCTCCCCTGGTTTATCATCCTCCGCCAGAAATTTACCATAGACCAGATGTTGTGGTCCATCGTCCAGACGTTCTTGTACACCGCCCGTCCGTTGTTTATGACCAACCAGCCGTGGTCCTGCATCGTCCCGCCGTGATCTACCACGAACCTGACGTCGTCTTCCATCAGCCACCACCATTGGTTAACCTACCTGTCTACCATGCCAGCGATCTGTACGCACCACACCCAGTTTACGAGCAGGCTGGCTCCCATCTTGGTTTTGATCATAATGTCGAGGGGGTACCCCCGCATTTTAGTTATGGACCGTATGGAGTTTCACATGCATTTGGAAAATCTAAAATTGAAGGCAGTGATGATGAGATGGAAAAGGATTCTGAGAATGACAAGGACCAAAAGGATTCTGAGACCCAGGACGAGAATGAAAACACCGAAGAGGACTCTGGGATTGAAAATGGTAAGAACCATGTATTATTTGTCTTATTATTAGGAATATAAACAATAACAAGCTATATATACATATTTTACAGGTAAGACAATGAAGTGCAAGTATTCATATATTACTTTTATGAATACATAATAATACATTATTATTACGAAATAAATATTCGAACATTAATAATATAATAATATATGAACAAAAACAAAAAATTTTCATTTTTGTTTCTGAAAGTAGAACAAGATCTCCTTACATTGTATTTTCTTATTGTTTTGTAGCCAAAGAGAAGACTGCAGAAGATACTGAGATGAAGGACCATTCTGAAAAATCTACCATAATCCGAGAATCTGGCCAGAAAAGCCACCATTCAAGTGACCATGCAAGTAAGCATACCAAAAAGAAATCTCAAACTGCCAAAGCTCACAAGAAGTACAATCTCATAATGCATAGACCACCCATAATCTACCATCCTTCACCCACAATTTACCATCGTCCAGATGTCGTAGTTCACCATTCCGATGTTGTAATTCATCGGCCAAGCGTCGTAATACAACCGCCATCCGTCGTCTTTCATAAACCTGCTGTAGTATACCATCAGCCACCTGTGGTGTTTCATCAGCCTGAGCCTTCGATACACCAACCGCTGTATCATTCCCATGATGCATATGAAGCTCACCCAGAGTATACTCATATAGGAAGCCATGTTGAACATGGAGGTAAAGAACATTAGTCATTTTAAATGGAAATATTTGGCATCATTTTCTTGTTACCATAAGTGTTAAGAGGCAATTTTTCTCAATGTCACGTATTTGCAATGAAAAGTGTTCAAAACCTAAAATTTTTTGGCGTTCCTCTCAAAATTACTTTGTTTTAGCTTTATTCTATTGTTTATAGAGTTAGCTACCTTTTTAAATGCATCTGCCGGTTGAGAAACATAAAATAATAGTTGAAAATTGTCAATTAAAATACAAATATCAATGATGCTTTAAAACTGACGCCATATTTACAGCCATATAAGCAAAACTTACTGAACTTCAGACATAATTTTCTCTTTGGCGTATCATCTAAAATCTCTTCATTTTGGCATTATTTTACAGATAAAGCACTAAACATACTTTTTAAGTTTGTTTGCCGATTGAGAAACGTATCGAAAAATAAAAATGTTGAATTTAGTCATAACCTCAAGTGGTATATTATACGCATTAGTTTTGAGCGCGTGTTACGTAACATACAAAAAAATCTTCTCTTAATAAGGTTGATCACCATATGTATCATAAAACACTTCAATAGAATTCATGTATAATAGAAATCATGGCATGACCAAAAGTTTGTAGATTGTCATTCTATTTCGTTTTACTTTCAAAAAATAAATGCGATTTTTGCTCTTGTTGTAGGTGAATACCTCGCGGACCCTCACTATGGCTATGATACACAACTCGGTTTCCATGGAGATTTCCACAATGGTTTCCATGGAGATTTCCATGATCACGTAGAGCCTGGGTTTGGCGGCTTCCATGGTTACGGAGATGCACACGCATTCCCAGGTTTTGGAAAATCAAAAATAGAAGAAGCGGAAGAAAAACACGCGGACACGAAAAAGGGGGAGCACGCAAAAGAAGACACGGAGAAAACAGGACACGATAAACCTGAACATGGGAAACAACATAAGAAGGAACACCACGAGGACGGAAAACACGAAAAGGAAAGCCACGAACACGCTAAACGCGATACGCAATCTACAAACACGAAACGTGTTCAACTTCCTCACGCACAAAAAGAGAAAACGGAAACAGGCACGAAGAAGAACGCGATTGTTGTGAGACGTCCTCCAATAATCTACCATCCTCCACCCGAGGTTTACCATCGGCCTGATATCGTGGTGCATCGGGCTCCAATCGTGATTCAACGTGCCCCTCTCGTGTATCATCAAAGTCCTGTCATTGTACACAGGCCCGCAGTTGTCTATCATCAGCCAGCGGTTGTCTTCCATCAGCCTGCGCCGACGGTGCATCAACCTGTGTTCCATTCTGTCGATACATTCAGTGTCCATCCCCACCTATCATTCTCACAAGCTGCAAGTAGTGTACACCAGGTCGGGCAATATCTAGGTATCCCCCAAGAAGTCATGCATCGCTCCACTGTCCCCACCTCTTCCCCCCACCCATCAAATGCTGAACACACCGACTCTGACCCTAGTGTCCCCACCGATTCTCATCCCAAACAACGAAGGGCAACACTAGAGCAAGTCATCACACCTATAACCCCACTCAATTTCATCCATCCCCGTCACCCAAGGTTTGAAACACCCCGTTCAACTATACCTTACCCCGCTCTACACCCTCATTCTCTCTCCTATGCCTCATTTCCTTGGGGTTACTCCCCAAGAACGAAGAGATTTGTAGAGGGACACCCATATGTTCACCCTGACCCATCCACAATGGTCCCTCATGAGCTATTCCCCCTCCCCTACTCCCCCTTCTATCACCACATGCCCCTACCACGGCCTCATGTAAATATCAACATCGAAACCGTTAAATCCAATGTTCCAAAAGGCGAAAAACGTGAACGAAGACAATCCATATTAGATCCATCACAAGTCGCCGAACCTTCCCCGATACAACCGGAAGTAGACGCAATGCATTCTGGACAGATGATGTCATATCCGGGTATGACGTATCCTTTACCAAGACCCCATGTGAACGTGAACATCGAGACTGTTAAGTCAGCGGTACCTCGCAGCAGAAGACAAGTCCTGGCCGGGTTGCCTACTCAGGGAAATGAAGCGAATTTCGCGCCTCAAACATATTCTCAGGCTGTCGTCCCTGTGGCTCCCGCACAGTTACCTGGTCCCCCCGTAGAACCATTGGGTGTATACAGAGATCTGCTTGGTGCGTTATACCCCAGGGGGGTGCGGAGGCGTCCTAAAGTGAACATTGTCGTCCAAACTGCAAAATCAAACATCCCTACTCCACAAAACGTGAAGAAATCAGTCCTTCCCAGTTCCCTAAACAAAAACAATGTTGATGCATTCAACACCATGCCGGAAGTGACGACAATTGAACCGCCGTTGCTAAGAGACGGTGTACGCGTCAACATGGTTGACTTGGGTGATCCTACAGCCGGGTCCAGTCCATCTCCTAATTTCGCGCCAAAATTACAACCATCGTACGGCAACACGAACATGCAGAACTATGGAGCGAATGTTTTGGGGCTTGGAGCACAAGGAAATTTCGGTATGGACAAGTGGAAAAAGTCGACGATTTCCGAGCCCAGTACATCGTGGCGTGACGTAAATGCCGAGAAAAAGTCGTCTGTTCCCAGCGTTCACCGACAGACAGGCGGGAAGAAACGTTTCATGATTGGTGGATCCCAGTCTCCTGAGCAGTTTCCCGAGTATCAGTCAGGACTTGAACCCCAGGGTTCAATACCCATGGCCCAACCCGCATTTGCAGGCTATGCTAATCCTTCAAGCTACGCTACTGAACCCCAGGGTTCACTACCTTTGGCTCAGCCCGCATCTGCAGGCTATGGTAATCCCTCAAGCTACGCTGCTGAACCACAGAGTTTACTAGCTCAGCCCGCCTCTGCAGGCTACACTACTGAGCCTCAAGGCTTTGGACCTCAGGTCAGTGGTGCTGCAGAACAAGAACAGTATGTGCCTGCAAACGTTGGAAATCAAGTGAGTGGCATTCCCCAACCAGGACGACTGCATGTAAATGTAAATATTGAAACCTATAAGAAACAAACAGTAGCCTCTGGTGGTCTACCCGGTAAACGACAACTGATCGGCACCCTCCCATTGACCTCTTTGTTCCGACCAAACCCAAACACAGCAAGAGCTTCATTGAAGAGTATGGTGCCTGATAGAAAAGCTCAGCCTGCAAAAAATGCTCAGCCTGTCACAAAACGTCAGCAGATTATGCCCCGAGTACCTTTGGCTCAAGCCATACCACGACTCAGAAATCGCGTATCATCCACGCGTAGGTCGCCCGCGATGTCCACGCGAGGGTATACCGCATTCCCGGCACGAGATACGCAACCTCAAACCCGGGCGTTTTCATATCAAGGTCTTCAACCCGCATCACACCCGCAGGTTTTGACCCCACCTGCCTCAGCGTCTTACTTTACTCCAGCCCCCTCCCCATATCTTCACCCCACACTCTACCCTTGGGGAGGCCGGAGACATGTTAACATCAACATTCAAACCGCCAAATCAAAAATCGCCACCCCCTCCAAATCAAAGAAGATCATCACCCCTCGGTTCAAGAGAGAATTCCCCGTCCTCTACAACATCATCAAGGCCAAGGCTAAATCAGATACAGCAAAAAGAGACGGCAAGACACGACGAGACAAACGACAGATGCCGTTCTTTCCCGGAGGAAACTTTCTACAAAATTTGATTCCCGACCCGAACTTGCTCGTAAAACGAGCTTTTTACGGGAATCTCCCGAGGTGAATTCTATTTTTTTCCTAAAATTAATTATTTTCTAACAGTAGTTTATTTACATGCTGCAATGTGGTGTCTGATGGCTTTTATCAGGCTGTAAAATTGTCTGACCATAGACAGAGATGCGTAATAAAATCACTGATTCAGTAATCTGAAACTTAAACTACCTAAATCTGTCACAAGATGAAGAGTAGTTTCATTAAACAATGACAGTCATTTAAGTCCGTATCAAACAATTTTGCTCGAACTCTGTCTATTGCCAGACTGCTTTACTTGTGAGCGTCATATAGTATTTATTTAGTTTAAATATTCCTAACTTAATAAAAGTTTTTGCTAAGTAGATTTGTATACATTTTAAGGTATCCAATCAACCCAGCCGTGCTTGTCCCGAGAGCTTCACGACCACGAGCCGAGAAGCAGCCGATGGGAACAATTGAAGTGGGCAATGCCGAGTCACCGTTGTCCAATGCCGCCGGCTTACTGAAGAATGAGTTTTCTCAAAGTTTTGCAGATATCGCCAAAATACAACGTCAGGAAGTGAATGCTATCAAAGGAATGAGTATGGGTAATCAGGCGCCATCACCCTCCGTCGTAAATATGCAAGGGCAAGCCTCCCCCGGTGCTGAAGTTGTTTCAGTTCCTAGACAAGGGTCTGCACCTCAATTGATGTCTGCGCCCGCTGCCGCAGCTTCAGCGGTACCAGTACAAGAGCAGGCGCAGCAACCTGAGGTAGTGCCAGTTTCCGCTCAACAAACAATGCCGTCATTTGCAGGTGTTCCTCAATCCCTACCTGCCGCTGGTCAACCATTGCCGGCTCAATTTGCTTCCCAGGCCCCTATGGAGATGGCTCCTGGTTTTGTCCGAGGTAAACCTGAGCCTGTCATGCAACGTCAAGCGGTTCAAGCACCTGAGCCTGTAATTCAAGCAGCTGGACCAGCGGTTCAAGCACCTGAACCTGCAATACAAGCACCTGAACCAGCGGTATCTAGAAACAGCCCGTTCACTGTAATAACTCCACAACAACTCCCCCCGGGTTTTCAACCCCAGTTCCCTATACCCGGTTTACAGTTTCCGTTTCTTCCACCGGCCGAGGTACCCCCAATGTTTGTGCCACCGGTAGAAATGCCTCGCGCACTTCCATACCCACGACCGTTCTTAAATCCCATCCCTCAGCCGGAGCCTGATGATTCTGATAGACCTTCAGTTAATATTCAAGTTCAGACGTCGAAATCGAAAATACCGAAACTGCAGAGTAAAATGAAGAAGGATAAAAAAGATAAGAATAAAACGACGCATTAGTTTTTGAAGTAGGTAAGGGCCATCTGCTGGGTGTAGACACTGTTTGATTTCATGAAACGTAAAAGCTATAAAAGCTATCGCAATCAGGGCGTGGCGACTGGGGGGTCTTGGGGGGATGCGACGCCCCCCCCCCCAATAATTCTGAACTTTGAAAAGTTGGTCAAAATTTTTGAAAAGTTGGTCAAAATTTTTGAAAAGTTGGTCAAAGGAATTATTTAAATATTAAACGAAATCTTATATTATTTACAAAAATTTTAGAAAATCCAAAAAATGTTCAGAATTTTAGAAAAAGTTCTTTGATAAACGGAGAAAATTTGTGATATTCGAAAGAATTTTAATGTCGCGAAAAATGCGATAGGTCCGGAAACATTTTTTTACCCCTAAAATGGTACACTGACACGAAAACGTTGGTCATTTTCATTAAAAAAGTTGGTCATTATGGTTTGACGCCCCCCCCTCCCCCCTCAATCTGGAATCGTTCGCCACGCCCCTGATCGCAATGAAGTAAAGATTATTGCATTCAGTAAGGACTAACTTAGATTTTGATATATAGCGCTTGAATTTACATGGAATATTGAGCGAGATACAACCAAAATAAAAATATTTATTATTTAACAAGTATAACTACATCGGTAATTATAAGCTTGTTTACGCTAATTTTCGGCATTTTCAAAAACAGTAGTTCAACGTTCAAACATCAATAGCGCAGTCAATATTGCATGTAAATTTAAGTGCTGTATACCAAAATCTAAGTTAGTCCTTTCTGAATGCAAGGATCTTCATTGCGATAGCTTTTATAGCTTTTACGTCACATGAAATCAAACAGGTTTCAATTTTTTGGGGGATACCCGGTACAAAAGTGAACGAAGGTACTACGTTAGTGGTACCTGTCGAACCTGAAATCCATTTAAGTAATTTATTTCTTTTTATTTCAGATGATAAATATCTCAACTACAGCAAAGATCTGTTCTATCAAAAGATACGTTGAGAAATATACGAAGAAAGAGTATAGAAATATGATATTTTTCTACGAAAAAATGTTTTAAATCTTCAAAAGAATGTGGATGGATTAATTACTAACTATCTGCGCTGGAGTTGTATAGGTTTTCAATACTACTTTCATGTAAATATATGTAATTACATGCATAATATAACCTTGTCCAAGTAGTAGTACGGTAACTCTTCAGAACACATCAGATCCTTTGCATTAGAATACGGATTTCAATTAGAAAAGATTTTTATTCTAAAATATTCTAATTGTCGCTACGAAATACTGCAAGAGATCTGGTGTCACAATCGAGGTTGCAAAACATATAGCTACTGCAATTCCTATGGAGATATAGAAATATTCAATTTTTATGGATAAATAGATGCAAAATATTGACTTTGTGTGACGTGTTGTGTTTTGGTCATGTAATGGTTCTTCTTTACATACACACGGAAAATCTCGCATCTTGTAGCAAGACTTGGAAACAAGCCGTCAACAAGTTGTGTTCGCACTGCTTGCCCCAAGTTGTCAACAAGTTTGGAACAAGCTGTTAACAGCTGTAACAACCTTGTTTATATTATCAGACTTGTTAGAACAACCTTGTAGCAAGTCTGATAATGCCATCAAGCTTGTTACAAGTTGTTAACTGTAGTAACCTTGTTGATATTATCAGACTTGTTAGAACAACCTTGTAACAAGTCTGATAATGCCATCAAGCTTGTTACAAGCTGTTAACAGCTGTAGTAACCTTGTTGATATTATCAGACTTGTTAGAACAACCTTGTAGCAAGTCTGATAATGCTATCAAGCTTGTTACAAGCTGTTAACAGCTGTAGTAACCTTGTTGATATTATCAGACTTGTTAGAACAACCTTGTAGCAAGTCTGATAATGCTATCAAGCTTGTTACAAGTTGTTAACAGCTTGTTGCAAACTTGTTACAACAACTGGGAACAAGCAGTGCGAACACACAAGTTGTCGACAGATTGTGAACAGATTTGTAACAACTTGTTTGCAGACCTGTTACAACTTGTGCGTTTTTACATGCGTATGGGACTGACTGGATCTGTTTTCTAACTTTCGCTGAAGACTGAAGAATTAAAAAATAATCTGCTCAAAATTTAAGATTATTGGAGGGAGTGACATATTCTCTCTCCAAGTCGAGAACTGCAAACTTTATATGCAGTCTACGATTGGTTGAGGATCATATAGACTCAAAGTGGTTTATCGTGTTACTTAATTCATTACTACAGTTGTATGGTTGACTAGTTTTGTCATAGATTAATAATGAATACGAGCTGTTCAGGTACTACCAATGAAAGATGATATTTTTTATACTTTAATGAAATGAAAGTATCAAAAAATTGTGAAGTTTCTTAGTTTGGAACTAAAGCTTTTCCGTTCTACAGAGTGTCTGTCAATAGCACTGCTTGCACTCTACACCGATGGTGTCTCGAAAAATACAACAGCTATGTCCCAGATTTTTACACAGATAATAGACAACTTGCATGTTAGACTAATTCTTGATTTAGGCAAGAAAAAGTAAATTCCCGTAAAGAACTTATTAAAATTAGTAAAATTGCAAAATTTGGTTGCGAAATGTTGTAAAATACAGAAAATATAGCCTTGCGAAGTTTGCATATTTTCAGTATATTTGTATTACGTGCGGAAATTGTTACCATTTTTGAGCCGAAAATGGTAACAATTTCCGCACGTAATATACAAACATACTGAAAATATGCAAACTTCGCAAGGCTATATTTTCCGTATTTTACAACATTTCGCAACCAAATTTTGCAATTTTACTAATTTCATTATGTTCTTTTTAACTGTTGTGTTTTATTCCTTTCTCTTTACTTAGATTAAAATTTAGTCTAACCTACAAGTTGTCCATTATTAGTAGGCCTCGAAAATTTAATCTGAGAATTCTGGTACTAAGATTAATATTCAAATTATACTGGTAGAACAACCAATGTTATGACTGTTTTTAAATAAAATCTGGTTCTCGCAATGGACCATTAAAATCTGCATCAGATGTGTAAAGTTTCAATAGGTTTGATGATTCCATACTTAAATACCTAAATTTTCGATGCCCACAAATTAGCTGTGTAAAAATCTTAATTATTTAGCATTATTAATTTTGAATTTTCCCCTTGATTCTTAACCTGCATTTTTTACGTTTTCCAATTTTCTGGGCGATAGGCCATGGCTGATGGGGGCCCCTAACTGTCGGGAGCCCTTAGTTTTTTAACTAACTCTAACCAATGAACGTTATTCTCATGTGTAAATAGTCATAATCTTTGATACTTTTTATGCCTGTAAATATCAAAATAGTGAGAGGGCCGTATGTTAGATAACTTTTATGGTTAATACGTTTTCCCTCGTGAAATAAAGTTTCTATTCTATTCTATTCTATTCTATTCTATTCTATTACGCCACTGATTGCATTTGAACGTTTTACTGTTTATAAACCTCTCTTTAATCAATACTTTGACATTTTATTATGTTTAGATGCGAAGTCTTACGACTAAACCTTATACACGGTATATACGGTTGAGAGCTGATGAGATTCTACATTGAAGGTAAGTTGTTTAAATTTAGCTGATACTGTGACAGTATCTGTATTATTTATTATACATTGATCGGTGTCCGATTCTTGGACAAAGTTGATTTCCTCGTGTAGTAACATTACAGCGACTTCAGCCATAGAGAACCTATATTTATACTGGTCCTCTAGGGGGAATTATCTAACATTTAGTCATTTTAGAACTGAAATAATGATTTTTAATCTTTCCACTTTGTTAAGACGTTAACACACTTCACAATTCAATAGTATATCGATAGATTTCAATTTACCAGATTTAAAAAAAAAAGCAAATTTAATCTTGATCTTAAAATTTAATTTAGAAAAGATAACGTATAGTTAAATTATACTCTGATATTTAATTAAATTTATACTCTGATTACTATCAAATCATTATCTTACATGAGAGCTATTTAATTAGCCTATATACCATTTTACAAAAAATACCATTTTACAATTTTACAAAATAGCAAGTTTAACTTACTGGAGAATTAAAGTTTTCAACTTTTATACAGTTCCTGATTTTAACAAAATACTTAAAACTATAAAATTAGAAATACTTGCGAATTTCCATTCCATCACGTGTGAAATTTCTCAATTGTCACAGGAATACACTCTAAAAAGAAAACACAATTACTTAGATTATAAACTGATAGTTTGAACAACGATTTAGTAACGGGACTCGGTCCTGCGTAACGAGTTGCTCCAGCGCATCGAACCTTACGCTACTACCTGCTCGAATTAACTGCGTTTATATAAATTGACCAACCAGCATTGAGATTGCGAGCGGTATTGTTTGAATTGAACCAATGAAATCGATTCGTGTCGTCGCGCCAAAATCCGTTGGCGTGAATATAAATAAATACATTGAAAAATGCCTGCAAAATGATGTCACTGGCTTTGTTTTTTTATTCGCTTTGGGTAATAAAATTAAAAAGTTACTGTTAAACGCATTTCAAAACGATATATTTTATTACTAAGACAAAGATAAGATTTTGTTAAAGATTGTCAACTGTGGGAAACAGATTGAGTTTGAGCTATGGCGAAGCGCCATTTGACACAGTCGTTTTGTGTTGTATTATTCTTACTTGTATCAAATGGTTTTGGCGAGAAGACGACAACAGAAGCCACAGATGAAACAACGAAATCACAAGAAGTGAATAAAGATGATTCGTCACAAGATAAAACATCGAAACATCAACTTATTCCTGGCTTTGGCGGAGGACATTTTGGCGGGGGTCATTTTGATGGCGGGCATTTTGACGGGGGTCATTTTGGCCATCACGAACATTATTGGGGGGCCGGCGGGGACCATACCGCCGAAATTGGCCCACATACTCCACCTATAAATATCGGCCCTCACGCGCCGCCCGTCCATATTGGTCCGCACGTACCAGCGGTTCATCTCGGACCCAGAGTTCCGACCATTCATGTGGGGACTCACGCCCCATTGTTACATGTCCGACCCCACACACCGTTTGTTCACATGGCGCCCCCAGTACCGATGGTGAACGCGTTTTCTCCCGGTCACCCCGTGCACGTCATGTCCCCATCTACCGTGTATCATCAACCACCAATTGTCTATCATCATCCCCATGTTGTCCCTCATCACCACGACATTGACGCGCACGGCGCCTATCCTGTGGCCATGCCCTATGGTGGTGGTGGTTTTGGGGGCTTTGGCGGAGGCTTTGGTGGGGGCTTTGGAGGTGGCTTTGGAGGTGGCTTTGGGGGAGGGTTCCCAGGCTACGCTGCCGCCGGGGCTGGCTTCGGTGGACCCGGTTTTGGAGCAGGATTTGGACGCTCTATAATACCCATGATTCCCTTCACCTCTCCATTTACCGATGATGATGAGGATGACAATGATGATGACGGAAACGACAAAGACGTCGAAACTGACGACAAAAATGACGATGACGACAGCAGTGAAGAAGATGACGAGAAAAATGTCGAAAAGAAAAATACTGAATCCAAGAAGGAAAAACGTAGCGCGAAACATGAGCTTCATAAACGACAATTTGGAGGCTGGCACCCTTACTCACATATGGTAAATGTGGGTCCCCACACCCCTCCTATTCATGTCGGACCACATTACCCCCCAGTTCATATCGGACCACATGTTCCCGCTGTCCATATCGGACCTCACGTGCCAGTCATCAACGTACCATCCCATGTTCCTGCCATTCATGTACGACCACGGGTTCCAGCAGTACACCTCGGACCTCCGGTACCGATCGTGAACGCCGGTAATCATTTCCCGGCCGTACATATCACTTCTCCACCTACGATATACCACAGACCTCCCATCGTAGTCCATCAGCCTCATATTGTACATGGCCCAGTTCCAGTACCTGGAGGTAAGGTGGAATTCATTATGCAGGCGTAATTACCTTCTGACCAATAGTCTGATTTGTACCAGAGATGATGACGAAATTAGACTCGTCCAGAAGTGTCACCATCTCTGGACGAATTCGTTTGGACGAATTCGTTTATGTATAAATGGAGACCGCGCTATTCTAGCTGTTCGGATACTTCGTCTAGTTTTTCTGGTATAAATCAGTGATCGGTTGTCCGAAGCACGATAACCCTGGGTTAAAATTTTGCTGGCTGTTTTCATTTCTGTGCTTCTGCATGTCATTTCAAAACTTTAGAAAATAACACGTCCATTGATTCAGACGAGATTTCTGGAAAAATATTTCCAATTTTCTAAACAATCTTTTGGAAAGTTTGATTGGACATTTTTTGTTAACCCAGGAACTAACCTAATTGTATTTATTGAATTATATTTCTTGCATCGTTTTATAACAAAACGTGGACTAATCTTTGATATTTTTCATTTCTAATGCCAGGAGGTATGGGTGCGCCACCACCAGAAGCAGGACTGCTGCATCCTGAGGTTGGTCCAGCATTTGGTGGTCCAGCAGTTGGTGGTCCAGCATTTGGTGGTCCAGCATTCGCAGGACCTGTTGGTCCATCCCCCGTAGTAGCTGGTCCCGGACCCGTAGGACCTGCACCGTTTGCTGTTCCTGGTCCGTTACCTGGTCCCGGCCTTGGTCCATTATCTGGCCCTGGTCTTGGTCCATTATCTGGTCCTGGCCTTGGTGCCTTACCTGGTCCTGGCCTTGGTGCCTTACCTGGTCCCGGTCCGTTAGCTGGTCCAGGTCCATTACCTGGTCCATTAGTTGGGCCAGGTCCACTAGCTGGTCCTGGTCCGTTAGCTGGTCCCGGTCCATTAGCAGGTCCATTGCCTGGCCCGTTCCCCATGGGCGCTCCTATGGCGAAGAGATCAAACATACAAACACCGTCAACTGGTAAGTAAGTGTGATGAATGTATTAAGCCATAAACATCTACCATAGTACGAATGATTCGAGTATGACCACAACACAACGAGCAAGCAGTCTTTTAATAGTTAACTCTTTTAGTTTGCAAAAATAATCCCTGAAGTGGAGACATTTATTCGTAATGCTTTACACGAATTTCAACATTTACATGCAAGTATAAAAATTGGGCAAACTCTGTTGTGACTATATCGAAAACACGAATAACGATTATAAACAATTCAATACTTTGTTACGCATATTTTAATTCTTGATTTGAAGTTCGCTTATCTTACTTGTAAATAACGTGTCGTGTTTGTGTTCAAATGAGGCCAAACAGCTGCTGTGTATATCTTTATTAAAGGTATTAAGTAAAAAAGTTTAAGAGTAAGACATATATGTCTTAAACTTTTTTAACTAGATATCTTTTAATAAAGATATACACTGTTGGTAGCTGTTGGCCTCATTTGAACACAAACGCGACACGTTATTACAACGCTACTGAAGGACAACCTCATACTTTTTACATGTAAATGTTGGCCTAGATGTAATATTTTAAATCCGAGTATGAGGACTGGACTAGATTTCAAGTCCGCGTAATAGACCTTTCCCCTTTTAAGTGAAATTTTGGTCTAGACAAGTCTGGACAAAAATTTCACAGCTTGAAAGAGCATCACAAAATTAGTAATATTCCGACGTTTCGTTGCGAAATATTGTACAATGCGGATAATATAGCCCTGCGAAGTTTGCCGTTTTTCAGTCATTTTAGATTACAAACGGGAAATTGATAATCCGAGATGATCAAACTGATTATCAATTTCCCATTTGTAATACAAAATGACTAAAAAACGGCAAACTTCGCAAGGCTATATTATCCGCATTTTACAACATTTCGCAACGAAACTTTGGAATATTACTAATTTTGTGATGCTCTTTCAAGCTGTGATGAAATTTTTTTGTCCAGGCTAGTCTAGATCAAAATTTCACTTAAAAGGGGAAAGGTCTATTTGATCAAGTCCGAGGCGAAGTCGAGGACTGGATCAAAATACTACTTAAAGTGAGGTGAATTAATTTTGATCCAGTCCAAGAACTGAATCAATATACTTCTCCAGGTATTCAGTATTATAATGTGAGCAAAATAAAGCAATATGGTTGGCTAATTCACTCATGAATCATTAATGATTTGAGATTAACTGTTCTTCTGTTTTTAGATAAACGATTTTCACTTCGTACGCTCCTAAACTCAGTACGAAGTCGTCGCCAGGCCGCAGCCAACGGTGATAGCGTCATTTTTGTCCATCCTCATGGCGGCCACAATGGTAAACCTTCGCCCTCAGCCCCGGGTATAGGCGCTGCTGGAGGTCGTTCCAGTTCTCCACTCGATGGCACAGCCAACCCGGAGCTGGAAAACCTCAAGGGTGAGCCAGGCACGTCCGCGTTTGGAGACTTGGGAGCTGGAATGGGAGGCCCTGGGTTAGGAGGTGCTGGAGAACGGAGTTTGTCCCCCCTTGGTATGGCACCCCCCGGATTAGGAGGTGGACCAGGTATGTATTTATACTGTTTATACTTGAGCACGGAGGGTGGTTCAGTAAACATCTCGTGGTCAACTTGAAATGTCCCCTGTGACAATACCAGAGGTGCAACTTAACACTTTCCCGCTTGCCCGGGGCAAGTGAATATCATGACAGGCAAGTAAACGTTTTAAGGTGGCTCGATATAGTTATCGCAAGAACTCTGCTCAAGAATCGCGAACTCAAAACCGGGTGACCATTTTTACGCGCAGGTCGCGGAAACTGATTAACAAAATGAAAGAACTTCCAAAACGACCTGACGTGAGCAGTTGCTCGCGCCATATCACCCCATTGCGCGTGTTCTATAGCGTTTTATGTCAATGGACCATTTGCATTATAGACTAAATTTTGATCTGGACAAATATTTCATCACAGCTTGAAAGAGCATCACAAAATTAGTAATATTCCAAAGTTTCGTTGCGAAATGTTGTAAAATGCGGATAATATAGCCATGCGAAGTT